ATAAGTCGATCCCCGAACGCCGTTCATACAGTTCAGAAGTTCGCTGAATTTCATACAGTTCAGATCATTCAGCACGACGTTCGTGGTTTGACTTGTCGTGACTGTTTTTCAAGATGGCTCCTGTCTGTATACACAAAGTGAACTGTCTTTATAAATTATCTTCTTATTAAACGGTCTTACAAAGTTCTCAATGCTTCATTTTGCATGTATGGACCCTCATTATGTTACAGTGTTAGTGTGGGGCTATTTTGAGCCTTGTTAATGGTATTAACTATAGCATTATACGATACACTTTACATTCGATTATCATGAAAACAAATTTCAGAGAACTGTTGACTAGGTACCAATGTTTTATTAGACCAAGGGTTAATTTTTCGCCAGAGTTCTCCTTTAATAAGTGAGGCATACAACTGGTCTGAAGGGGGTATGTTTTGCAATTAAACCCATTATCCCACTTAAAACAAGGGTATTTATGTAATTTATGGTATGGTGATGGAATATTGATTTATGGTGTGCTACGAGGGCTAGCACATCAGTCTTCTTGCGGGGTCGATGGTCATTTATGCAGTTTAGTGGTCATTCTACACACATATTTGACTATATAATGCCACGATTTATCCATCAGAATCAAGTATTCCAGAGAGCTGTATAATAAGCATAAAAATGCTTGCACACTTTAATTAATTTGATTACTTTTTAATTGATTATTTTTTTTCTATGTACTTGTCAGTAAATGAAAGCTTTGGGTCACTAAGATGGGGTCATGTCAAAGAAATGTAGACTTTTATTGCAGCAAGGACATATTTTAATTGATCAAAAGTTAAAGACATTTAAAATGTTGCATAGCATTTCTTACGAGTTCTGAATAAATCTATTAATCAAAGAATCAAAAGAATCAAAGCATTATGCATCATGGTTTTCATAAAAGTAAAAATTATTTTAAAATTGAGTAATATTTCACTATATTACTGTTTTACTCCCTTGATGGGCATGGTATATATATATATATATATATATATATATATATATATATATATATGTATGTATATATTTTATTTTATTTTTTTTAATCACATTGCAAGCTTGTAATCAACTTTTATCTTGCTGTGCATTCTGGGATTGCCTTTTCCTCCATTGATTAATACAATGCATATTTTGGCATAAATACATAAAAGATGTATTCATGATGCCAACTTTTTGGAACAGCCTTTGCATTGAGAGTGAATGCGTTGCATTCTAACATTGTCCTGGGAGCACACTAGATTTTGAGACTGACCTACAGACTCAGACAGTGTGTGTACATGGTTTATGCACACACACTGTATGAATTCTCTCAGAACAGCATTCTTTTGCAGACTTAAATGAGAGATTGCAGTAAGTGACTGTGGTAAATACCTTTGATGAGAAAAAACAAGTCAACATTGATTCTAATTTCTCAGCTCTGTGATTCGACAAGAAACGGTCACTGATGACTGATTCCATGAAATATTTTCACAAACACATGTGGGAATACACACAAAGTCAGAAAGAGAGAAAGGAAGGAAAAAAAATAATTGTTTTTGGAATTAAAAAAAAAATGTGTGCAAAAGTCTAATTGCATACTGTCTGTATGATGTTCTGATATCATGGAATCATCAGAAAAGCTTTTCCTCAGTCACTAAGCCACTTGGATGATTTGATTTATCATTCTTGTCCATAGCACAATTATGTTTGTTGAAATAGACAAACATAATTTCCCCCAAAAATAGAAAAAAAAAGAAAAGCACCATTCCGGTTTATTTTATGACAATTCACTATATATGCACGCTTCATTGTGGGTTACTTGAATATTTTTAGTATATGTCAGAATTTCTTGTGTGTCTAGGTTAGACTCCATGTCCTTTGGCATTTATAAATACAAGTTCGTAATAATTGCCATCATATGTTGCCACCACATAAAATGGTATATGTGCAATATTTATGAGTTTTGTGGGACATGTACGATAATGTTTATGCATGACCTTTATCATGTGTGCACTGTTAGTTAGGAATTTAGTGCTTGCAAGATCATATATTTCTGTGTGTATGTGTATGTGTGAGAGAGAGAGAGTGTGTGTGAATGTGCATAAAACTATAATGAAATAACAATGTATGTGCATTGTGCATATAAATGTGTGTGTGTGTGTGTGTGTGTGTGTTCTTCACGGCCTCATTAGTTGCTCGGTCTGCTAGCTGTGTCTTTATTCTAGTTTTATGTGCTCAGGTTTAGGGAATCACCTGAGATTAATTTGCAGTCTTGGGCCGCTCACTTCAATCCATAATTCAGCAGCAGTGTGGCTCTCTTCCTGACACCTGGCGCACCAGGACCCAGACAGAGTGAAATATTCACTACAGATCATCACGCCACAGCCGCTCGCCCTTATTAACCGGCCCCTTATCCGTCTGGAACGATGCATAGTGGGCCGAAAACGGGAGAAATTTGAGACCAAGTGTGTGCATGAGGAGATATTAAAATCAATCATCCGCTCTTATGTCATCCCTCTATGTTGAGCTGCTCTAATCATACAGCAGTCATTAATCATTTCAGGAGGTTGATGTAATATCCCGTGACAGGCAGCTGCGCTAGAGCATAATGTCTTTATCGTGCTGTTGTTAAGGTTTATCTTCTAGCAACGTGTAGGAATGGAATGAGGCTTTTTGCTTTTTAAAGCTGCAATTGTCGCCATCTCTGTTCGAAATCTGCAATTGCAGTCATTCGCGGAATTATTAACTTTACGTGAGTTGTGCTTCAACACCCTTGACACGGCACAGCGTGGATGAACACGATGTTTGAGGAGAGTGTGCGGCTGCCGATGTGGATACTGCCATTCAGAATCACAGATTATTCTTTTTGATAGTATGACCGACATAATAGTTGCGTTAATAGTGTTGAAACATTTACACTACATTTAAAAATCAACATTTCCCTGAAATTGTTGTGAATGATTCATTCTACTTGCAAATGCTGTTTGTTGTTGACCTCAGCTACTGTCGTGGCCTCAGAAAACTCATGAATCCATAGAGTCAATTTGAACCTGAAGAAATAGTTATTTTTGACAGTACCACCATCGTCTACAGCGGTTTGATGGAAAAGATAAAATGCTCAAAAAAACTCAACCACATTTATTTTTAACCACATTTAGGCCCCATTTACACGAAGGGAGAATTCAGATATTTCCCTGCGGATTGGTCTCTCGTTTACACGAAAACCCCGTTTTTATCACAGAAAACGATTATTTCTAAAAAAGTGGAGATTTCTGAAAACGGCAGTTATGTGTTGTCGCGTGAACTGGGAGAAACGGCGTTTTAGGTTCTCTCTTGTCGATTCTGAGGATTCTGATTGGCTTGCATGACTTTATCCTTCTCCCTCCACTGCCGCCAATAGGTTTGGCATAGATATGATGGCGCTCGCCTCGACGGCGTATTTATGCGGGTGTGTGAACGATGTTGTTTTTGAAAATGGAGAGAAAATATTTGTTTCGCTAAATACCTGGCTTTGTGTAAACATGGCCTAATACTCCAGTACTGCTGGTTGAAGTAGGTTACGATATAAGGAAGATATGGTGTCTTTTGAAGGGCACTCCAAAGTATAGTGACTACAAAAATGGATATGTTATAGTTATTGCATGTTGTTTGCTTAGGATTATCTATATAGACCCAACAGATTGTATAGATAGGTGTAGTATATGTACAGTATATACTGTAGGCTATGCAATTACAGGCCTATCAATTGTTCTCTTAGAGAGAGAAAGAAAGATAAGTTAAAGTTCTGTCAGTTTGGCCTCAGAATATGCTGACTTCATCAATACGCATCTGAAGCCTTGTGCGATAACGGCTCTGCGGCTCCGGCACACGTTTGGTATTCCTGCGGTGAGATGGACAGATTCCTATTAGCATTCAGACCCCGGAGGACTCGGGCGGGGGTGCCAGTTCAGAGACTGGGGCTGTGTGAGAGACGGTTCGAGGGCAGCCACGCAGAACCAACAATTCTTCCTCAATTGTCCAGCACATAGTCATAATGAGAAAACATTGATTGTAAACAAAGGATGCACAGTAATTGGGACTCCATGCTAAGTGTCAGGATTCGGCCCAAAGGTCGGTGGAGAGGGCTGCTTATTCAAAGTGAGATGCATGAATGTACTTCTAAAGATGAGAAATTATGGTCACATATGTAAAGCAAGTTGTTTTATTTTAAGGATTTTTTAAATTAAGTTTGATTTGCTAAATACTGAATACTATACACATACTACACACTGTTTGAAAGACTTTCTTAGTGTTTTTGAAAGAGGTCTCTTATGCTAACCAATACTTAATGGAAACCAGAAATAATATACAGTAGATAGCAAAAACGCACACAAAAAAACTATATGACATTTCTGGTTCCCATTAAATATTTCCTATAAGTCTTTATTTTGCGTGTATATTTCAAAGTACTTGAACTTTGCATGGAAAAAAAAAGGATGAAAAATATAATGGTACAAATATTTCTATTTTTCTGGGAAAAGTTCTTCTGTCACAGCAGCTGTTGCATGTCCCTGATGTCATGAAGAAGTTTTCATGTGATATTTAAAGAGCAAAGTTATCTTATGGTGTTGTTAATCTGGAGGGAAAATGACAGATGGAGAAATCAAGTTCCTTTGTTCATCTGAATGAGTCAGTGTCAATGAATATGAAAAACAACAACATCAACAAAACAAAAAAAAAAAAAAACACATTCAGAATTCTGTCATGTTTTTAAAGACATTTGTCTTTGTGTAAATGAATAGGCATAACGAGATGGCAGTGAATTAGCACTCCGCAGTGGCTCTGAAACATCCGTCGGGAAATTTCCATGTAAATATCAGCTTTTCAAGCGCGGCACTGAACATTTGGTGTGTAGTTTGCTGTGATATTACTGATGCAGTGTTATAAATCACTGCTCGAGTGTGATGTCTGACAGTTGCAGATTTCTTACCGTGATTCTTCTTGTTGTTTTCTCATAGAGCCATTACTCTGGACAATACGCTGGTCATCCTGTCCACCGTGGCTCCAGATGCTGGGAGATACTACGTGCAAGCCGTAAATGACAAGAACGGAGAAAACAAGACCGGCCAGCCCATAACGCTGTCTGTGGAAAGTAAGTCTGTAGAAATTTGGAAACACACATGCACAAAATTACATTTGAACTTCCTTCTAAACACTAAAAGTAAGTGTGTGTGTGTTTGTGTAGAATAATAGAATATATATAATTAGAGAGAGAATATGTATATATTGGACATTTTGATATGCCGGTCAAATATCTTGTCTGACAAAATTAAATATCTCCGGTCAAATTTTCCTATTAAAAGAAGTCAATGGGACCAGAAACGATCTGGTTACTGATATTCTTCTAAATACCAGAAAATCGGCTGAATGGATTCGAAAACGGTAAAACCCAACTGTTTAACTTCGGGTGAAGTTGTAAAATGAGCCTATTTCATAAAAAAAAAAGTGGAGTATCCCTTTAATAACTTTCAAACGTTAGAGCCTGTTCCTTTATAACATAGCCAAAGGTTGGTGCATTTTTGCCTTATATTTTAGGCTTATTCTTAAATTCATTGGGTTTGGGCAATTTGACCACTGAGATTTAATTTTGTCGAACATTTAAACCCTGAAACACACATATAAATGTACTTATTTTAAAGATAAAATATACTTCAATACATATTTATATACAGAAGCATACTTCTGTTCTCAATTTTCCTCGTTCTTATCTGAAAAAATCAAAGTTTTGTCTATCCGCTCCATGAGTCTTGGCTTTCCATTTTAGATAACATGCCGGTTTATATGAACATATAAATCTGTGAACAACAGGCTATAGACAAATACATATTTGTCTTCGGTGACAGCGCTTTGTTTTTTTTTTACTCTCACCGCTTCTCTGAAATTCGAGAGTGAGAATATTGACAGTTATGGATTGTACTTTGTGAGAGTGTTGGTGTATCAGATTCTCTGTGCAAACCAGGATATGATATTTTTGAGTCAAATACAGGAGGGACTAAAGAATGGTGCGGCAACAGATTAGAGATAGTGGGGGTGTGTGTATGTGTATGTTTGTGTGTGTGGGGGTGTCTAGAGGACAGTCCTTCCCAGAAGCTGTAGTTGAGTATCAGTGCTTTACAGAAGACTCTCTCTGACAGAAGTCTGCACACACACACACACACACGCTCTCCCACACACAAGCGTAGCTGCTATAGCAGAGATATAGGTTCCTGTTCCAAACACAAACCTGTCACACTTGCTGTAACACGTACAATACACCGGCTGGCACTTCCTACAGTACATCTGGACACACTCACACCTGAAGATGACAGATCTGAGTTCTATTAAAAACACTCACTCGATAATGTCTTTTACCTGTGTGTCACAACACTCATTTCTCCTCTGCTGTAGATGTCGGTGGTCCTGCAGACCCCATCGCTCCCACCATTGTGATTCCGCCGAGGAACACCAGCGTCATATCCGGCACCTCTGAGGTCACGATGGAGTGTGTGGCCAACGCTAGGTGACGACCTCTGATTCCTGTTTGAATGAAACGCAAATGATTTTACAGTTTTTCTCAATTGCTTTGGCACATTTTTCGAAACGGTCTTAACATTCTCTAAACTGTGAGTGCAAATGTCACAACTGTTTGCAGGAACTTCAAAACTTTATAGCATGTCTGCAAAATGTAGTTACTCACCCAAAACATTTAATTCATGCTTCAAAACCTAGTTATTTTGTCAAAAATTTGGCCAAGGCCACCAAAATCTAAAGTATTTTTGTCATTGTGTGAGCCACACTGGTCAAAATGTTTAGTTGTTTTTTCACCACAACAGTCAACCATAAAAATTAAGGGTTTATTGTAAACAAATCTCATATTTGTTGAGAAAAGTCAATATTAGGTAGAAAAAAAAGGAAAAAACAGTGTTTACAGTGTTTATTTTTGTACTTCGTGTGTATATACACAATACAAGTGCATTTACTGTACATGTAAAGTAACTGACAAGAGTAACAAAATTTCACTTTACATTTCATATTTGTGTATTACCACAAATACACAAACAACAAATAACATTCATGGAAAAAAAAAAAAAGAAACAAATTATTCTTGGTGGACATCTTGTCGCTCACGTTGGTCAGGCCAAAGATTTTCATCAACATCACATCTGATGTTACCATTGCCACACACCATGGAAAAAATCTCCTTGAATGCTGCACCCATCCCCTGCAATGGTCAGATTTATGACATGATCCACAAGTGTGGCTCTGATTTCATCAGAGACTCTGACTCTTCTATTTCCACCTCTTCCTCGATTATTTCTTCCTCTACCGTATTCTAACACGCCTTCCAATTGCTCTTCCATGAGCATGTTGCTGCAGTTCAGGGTTGTGAATGTCCTCCATTCTATATATATATATAATCTATATATATATATATATATATATATATATATATATATATATACTCCCAAAGTTGATTGGTTAAATGGTTAAATGGTTGATTCATATTAGAGGTAATTTGCAATTCGATTGCGAATGCAATTAGAGGTCATATGCCAATTTAGCAAACACTACAAACAATGTCAATGTCAGATATATTTTAGAATAAACAGTACATTCATGTGTACTAATAATGATAATTGAATAGATCGTTTTGAATGTGATGGCTTACACAATAAAAAATGTCTGAGAAGTTCTGAAGTGTTTGACAGTATAAGTGAGAATCGGGTCATCAGTTTTGAACAACAAGCCATATGCAATTATTTGTTGTCCAAACTGCAGACAGTTGTATGTACTCTTTGCACACATGTGCCAAAGCATTTGCAATTTGCTCAAATCAATAAGAAATTCCAATTTGATGTGAAAAAGAAGCGAATTGTTCAGAGATCTGAACTTAATGTTTAGGGAAATAAAAAAAACATTTGATAACTGAGCCAAAGCAATTGAGAAAAACTGTAATTACAAGACGAGCAGTGGGTTGAAGTCTATCATAATTTTTGATTCTTTTCTCGAAACCTTTCTGTAATTATTTCTTGTGAAGTACAGACTCTATTGAGTCTTGTAAAAGAAAATGGTCATAATTGTAATGGAATAACTGAAAAAAGTGGTTAACGTTAAGTTCCCTTTTTCTATACGGTGGAAAACTGTAATTGATCTAATTAGGCATTTAATGTAATATTATATTAAATTACTCTTAAATGTACATTTTCTTTGAAGTGAAAAAGAATAGGTCATCTTATAATTTACAGTGAAAACCCATAAACTGTCTAAGATTCCCACGTCATGTGACACTTCACTTTGATGGTTTTTCATTTTGTTTTATTGGGTTACATATATTAGGATTTAATGTTACATATATAAGGATGTTATGTTGTTTTTTTCCCTTATTTTAGTGTCACCATGATGGTGTTTTGTGTTTGTATGTATGACACTGTTCGCCTTTTATTTTACACACAGCTTTCTCATTACTGTATTTTTAAGGTGGTTTTCAGTATATAATAAAAGTTAAAAAAATATATATATATATTTTAGTCATTTAATATATTAACATTATTTCAATCTGTTCATTTTAAAACGTTGCTCAATTTTAAAATTATTTTCAGTAAAAAAATGTAAAACCTTTTATAGATACTGTAGATAGATAGATAGATAGATAGATAGATAGATAGATAGATAGATAGATAGATAGATAGATAGATAGATAGATAGATAGATAGATAGATAGATAGATAGATAGATAGATAGATAGATAGATAGATAGATAGATAGATAGATAGATAGATAGATAGATAGATAGATGTGTATATATGTATATATATATATGTGTGTGTGTGTGTGTGTGTGTGTCATTTTTGTTTGTTCGTTAATTTAGTTTAAAAATAAATTAAAGAGAATTATTGTAATATTTGTGTTTTTATGTGGACAAAATGTCGCATTTTCAATGTTGTATCCATGTAAACTCCCTTTCTCTATCCTCACGTAGGTCATTCAGAAGTTACACTGTCTTTAAATGGTCATGGCATGAGTGGATTAAAATTTTTGACACATAATGTTAAATTCCTGTGGCTCTACTTTCATAGAAATATGTGTTTTAAGTGTATGAAATGTCTTAGCCATAGACTTTCAAGGTAAATGCTCTATTGTAATAACATTGTCTTTTCTTTTTCAATTTGAGGAAACTATTCAAAAGTGCATTCATGGGATGAAAATCAACTGAATGTCATAGATAGTGCTTTCATAGTGCAAAACAAACTGTATTAATAGGACAAGCCAACGTTTTAATGGTTGACAGTTACCCTCCCTGACTCTTTCCCTCCCATTTTAATTCCCTATCAGGCCATTGATAAAGCTGAGCATCAGTTGGAAGAAGGACGGTGTTCCGGTGAGGAGTGGACTGAGTGATTTTAACCGTAGACTGACGGTGTTGAGTCCGGTTGTCAGTGACTCTGGCTTCTACGAGTGTGAAGCTGTCCTCCGTAGCAGTAGCGTTCCCTCTGTCAGCGCTGGAGCGTACCTGCATGTGCTCGGTAATAAACATGGACTGTACACACATCGGACTACTGTAGTGATGGATACATTTCAGTGTAAATTCACTAGTGCATTAGAGATTAGTGAACTTCATTTGAAGTATTCTACATTTTTTCTTACCAGTATTCAGTATTCATATTTATACATTAACAAAACAAAAAAAAAGAAATAAATATTGAAGCTAATGAGCATGTGCAAGAGCAACGGAGTGTTGCTAATACATGCTGCTTAACTACTGCGCTCTGTTACCAGTAGGCGTGGCCTCCTATGGCAGTGAAGCAAGTGCATTCTGGGAGTTGTTGTCTTTCATCCACATAAGCCAAAATACAATTTCTGGCTTTTCTCAGTCTATAAAGCTCCAAATTCAAAAATAATTTCACATTTTTTTCTACATAAATGACCCATTTTCAATACACATTCATCTTTCAAGAGGTGAAGTATCCCTTTAATAGTAGTTACTAGAGTGTTAATAATGCATTACTCATTTGTACCTGTGTTGTTATTCTTTAATTAATGGAAAAGTATTCTGAAGTGTTACCAAAAAAAAAACTTTACCAACCCCAAACTTTTGAATAGTACATTTTGTAGCTATACTACTGTATATATAAGCTGCTTTGATTAAAAGTGACAAATATAGTAGTCACAATCACAATTGACCTGATTTTATTTAAGGTGAATAGTCATTTTAATTAGAACTTGTCTATATTTACAATGTGTGTCTCATTTTAGGCCATTTTTCTAAATCTGTATCTATTGTAATGTTAGAGTAAAACCAAAAAGCCTGCACAGGATGTTCTCAAAAATACAACAACAGTCCAATTTATTTGAAAAGATTTAATCTTGCTTCCTGTGCCGTTTATCTGGGGTGTTTTTTTATCTTGAAGTGCACATGTGGAGGTCACAACCCCCCCTCTCTTTCTCTTCCGCAGAACCACCTCAGTTTGTGAAGGAACCAGAGAAACACATCACCGCTGAGATGGAGAAAGTGGTGGACATTCCCTGCCAGGCCAGAGGTGAGACACCTGACCTCTCATCCTAATGAGTTTTTCCCAGCGCCAAGTCATTTCTCTCTCCTTACTGAAGCTGCGCAAAGCATCCTCAGCCAATCAGAACACGATGTTTAATAGACAGCTGCATGAAACACGATTTTTGATCAATTGGACTATACCGTGGGCGGAGCTACTCAATAAAGTAGTTTGAATTGCAGATAGTTCAACAAAATTGAGTCAGTCAAAAAGAAATGAAGGTTTTGGATGAAAATATTCCAGGATTTTTCTCCATAGCTATAATGAACGTCAATGGACCCCAACCGTTTCAAGGTCCAAATGAGAGTTTCAGTGCAGCTTCAAAGGGCTTTAAACGACACCAGATGATGAATGAGGGTCTTATCTAGCCAAACGATTGCTCATTTCAAAAATAAATAAAAAACTTTAAGTTTTATAAGCACAAATGCTCGCCTTGCTCTGTTCTGTGATGAGCGTTCGTGACTCTCCTGTTCGAACTCGTTCATCAAAATGAACGAATCTTTTTTTGAGTAATTTCATTCATTGAATGAGTCTTTTTAAACAGATTAAACCAACCGTTTCAAGGTCGAAATGAGAGTTTCAGTGCAGCTTCAAAGGGCTTTAAACGACACCAGATGATGAATGAGGGTCTTATCTAGCGAAACGATCACTCATTTAAAAAAATAAATAAAAATCTTTACGTTTTATAAGCACAAATGCTCGCCTTGCTCTGTTCTGTGATGCACGTTCATGACTCTCCTGTTCGAACTTTTTTCGAGTAATTTCGTTCGTTGAATGAGTCTTTTTAAACAGATTAAATCTTTTCAAACAGAGCTTTTCTTTCATTGTTTTCATTTTGTAATATCCACAGCAGAAAAATATCTCAATGTAATTTATTAAGTATTACGTTTTTTGAAAAATATTTAATCATTCAGCTATACATTTATAACTACTCATCTCAGGTGTCCCTCAGCCTGATATCGTGTGGTATAAGGACGCAGTACCCATAAGCCCCGTGAAGACCCCGCGCTACAGAGTGCTGGCAGGGGGTAGTCTCCAGGTCAACGGCCTTCTGCCTGACGACACCGGAATGTTCCAGTGCTTCGCCCGCAACCAGGCCGGAGAGGTGCAAACCAACACCTACCTCGCAGTTACGAGTGAGTTCATCCATACGGATTACACCTCTCCTCTTTATGCCTCTCATACACTGATGCACAAATACATGTGGACATTTAGTTCCTCTGCTTCTCTCTGTCTGTCTCTTTCTCTTGCAATCAGAAAGGCTTTGAATGCCATACCAACAATGCTTTTCTTTCTTCCAGGCTTCATTCTCTCTTGTGCCGCTGATGTGCTTTTCTGTCGCTGTGTTAAGGCTGTGATTAATACCCTGTTGTGAGGAAGAGTTAGCGAGAGAGAGAGAGAGACCGAAAGAGAGACAGGGAGAGATAAAGAGGGCTTTTATAGAGGACTGACTGAGCTTATCTTGCCGCTCCGAGACACATAGAGCTCGCTAAAATGCTAAACACCATCTAGCTTATATTTACCTCTGCTTACAACAAACACAGATATTGGGAATGAATGGACGGTGCCGAAGTTAAAGAGATCATTTATCCAAAATGAAAATCTTGTCATCATTTACCTCACAAGTATGTCTTACTTTCTCATGTGATGAACCAACGAGGATTATTTGAGTGTCCAATGTTGTTTTGGACCCCATTGACTTGTTCCACATATAGAAAGTAAGTCACACAGGTTTGGAACGACATGGGATTAAGTACATTTTTGGGTGAAGTATCCCTTTAAGTATTAGCTTTCCTTTTCCCTTATCAACCAGTCTGGAAATTGTAAGAACATGTCTGTTCGCCCACTGTCATGCCTGTCTACATTTCTCAGTGAATTGTTTCAGCTTTCTGTTTCGTACCTGCTTTCATTCCGTTGTTTTCTTTACTTGTTTGGTTTCTAAGTCACGCTTTGATCCGCACGAATCGAGTTTTTTTCCCAGTGCTTACGAATGCGAGGAAGTGTTTGAACGTGTGTGTGTGTGCCGTTGTACGTCTTTGTTTCTCATGCATTTGGTGTGCTCCTCTCATAGGTATAGCACCGAACATCACGGCGGGGCCTTCCGACAGCACTGTGATTGACGGCATGTCAGTTATCCTGCACTGTGAGACCTCAGGAGCGCCCCGTCCTGCCATCACCTGGCAGAAAGGTGAAGAACATATCCCTCAAAGTCTACACTCATGCATTTCCAAAGAACAACTACAAAGTGTCAGTTCCCAGGCCGCACCTCTCCCCAGTGCCTTTCTGTTCCTTTGTTATTTTTTTTTTCACTACTATATTGCACTACTTTGCTGCAATCCCGCCTTCACGTTTGAAATTGTGTAGATGTCATCATTAGACAAGAAAATTATTGTGTGATTTGACACAGGCTACAATTATGTAAATGCATGTTTTATAGTGTGCAGAGTTGAGCATGGTAGCAGCAACTTTCTTGAATATCCAAACTACTCATTAAAAATCATTGTAGAAGCTACAAATACATCCGAACCATCTGAAATGTAAGGTGTTGGTTGCCACAAAATTAGGATTCTGTATGAAAACAATTGTATGGAAGACCGGCAAATTAGAGGAGCGTGTCCGTCCCCAGAACCGTGCTTTACATTTATGTTGGAGCAGAAGGAAAGGAAACAAGCCTGCTTGTGGTTTTAAAGGATTAGTTCACCCAAAAATGAAAGTTCTGTCATTGTTTGCTCACCCTTCTGTTGTTTTAAATCCATTTGAGCTTTTCTGTGGAACACAACAGAAGTTTTAAAGAATTATTTTGGGCCCTCTTGTCCGTAGAATTATAATGAATGGGAACCAAGGCTGTCAAGCTTGTGCAAAATCAGCATAAAACGTAGTCTATATGACTCTCACACTTTATTCCAAGTTCTCTGATACAATACAAAAGCTTTGTGTGAGTTGCATACCCAAATGTAAGATTTTTTTTTTTTTTTTTTTTTAATTGAAAATCTTGCCAGGTTTAATGAAAGACTTATTGAATGGAATGGAAAGAAAAGGAAAGATTACAGGCACATGAAGACTTAAATTTCATTCAAGTTCTCACACAAAACTACCATATGACTTCAAAAGATTTGGAATATAGACTCATATTGACTTTTACATTCAGTAAATGTAAATAAAATTCCATATATTTTCACTGTAGGCTGTTCATCATCCAACTTGGTTTGTTAATATACAGAAGATGCCCAATGATGTACGGTTACCATTTAATTTTGGCTAATAAGATGTATTTCTGCCTGGGTATGTGATTGACCTCTGCAGGAGAACGAGTGCTGGCCAGCGGTTCGGTTCAGCTACCCCGGTTCACTCTTCTGGAATCAGGAAGTTTACTTATAAGCCCCTCCCACATATCAGATGCCGGCACCTACACCTGCATGGCCAGCAACTCCCGTGGCATAGACGAGGCCTCGGCCGACCTCGTGGTCTGGGGTGAGTGTGTTTGTGTGTATACTGTAGATCAGAGCTATGTTTTTACTTGGTGACGTCCATGTTCAAGTGTGTTTTTGTCATACACCTGTGCATATACTGATGTGCATTTACTTGGTTCCCCATTACAGCACGTACACGCATCACTAATCCTCCACAGGATCAGAGCGTCATCAAAGGAACAAAAGCCACCATGACCTGTGGTGTGACACATGACCCCAGCGTCTCAGTCAGGTGCGGCCCCCATACACCTGACTGCAAAGAAATATTGTGAACACAGAATGTTTTGTATTTTTTGAAACTACTTTGATAATGTAACTAAAGCCATGGGTAGGGGTGGGGTATTAATTACATGTTATTTTTTTTTGAAGAAAATATAAATATTTGACCTTCATTGTTATATGAAGGACATCGCTATGTAGTTGCTAAGTGGTACTACGTTGTTTTTTTTGTGTGTTGCTATAAAATTGTTAGGCTGTTACTAGGATGCAGTGTGTTCTAAATGGTTGTAAGGGAGTTATTTGGTGGATTCTAGAGTGTTCTGGGTGGATGCTAGGCCGTTACTAGGTGGATGATAAAATGTTTTTGGTGGTTGCTAGGCTGTTTCTTGGTGAATTATATAATGTTTTGAGCAGTTGCTAGGCCGTTATTTGGTGGATGCTAAAGTGTTCTGGATGGTTGTTAGGGTGTTACTTGGTGGATGCTAGAGTGTTCTGGGGGGTTGCTAGCCATTACTAGATGGATGATTGAATATTTTGGATGGTTGCTAGGTGTTCTGGGCTGTGTTTCCCAAAAGGATTGTAAACCTAAGTTGATTGTAGAACCATTGCCACCAATGGTCTCTATGATCAACTTAGGTTAACGATGCTTTTGGAAAATGCAGCCCCTGGTGGTTACTAGGCCATTACCATGTGGATGATAGAATGTTTTAGGTGGTTGCTAGGCCGTTACTAGGTGGATGATTGAATGTTTCGGGTAGTTCCGAGGCGTTAGTAGGTGGATGTTAGAGTGTTCTGGGTGGTTGTTTGGGCATTACTTTATGAATGCTAGAGTATTCTAGAGTAATGCAAGGGTGTTACTAGGTGGATACTAGAGTGTTCTGGGTTAGGGTGTTACTTGGTGGATGATAGAATCTTCTGGGTGGTTTCTAGCCATTACTAGATGGGTAATTGAATATGTTGGATGGTTGCTAGGTGGATGCTAGAGTGTTCTGGATGGTTGTTAGGACATTACTTGGTGGATGCTAGAGAGTTCTGGGTGGTTGCTAGGTCATTATTGGGGGATGATGGAATGTTTTGGGTGGTTGCTAGGCATTAGTAAGTAGATGTTTGAGTGTTCTGGTTGGAATGTTTTGGGTGGTTGCTTGGCATTACTACGTGGGTTGTTGTTGGTTTTAGAACAAGGAGTGTTCTTGTTGGTTGCTAGGCCGTTACAAGGCTGATTATAGAAAGTTTTGGGTGGTTGTTTGGGCATTACTTGGTGGATGCTAGAGTGTTCTGGGCTGTGTTTCCCAAAAGCATTGAAAGCCTAAGTTGATCGTAGAACCATTGCCACCAATGGTCTCTTTGTTCAACTTAGGCTTATCAGTACTATGTTTTTGGAAAATGCAGCCCCTGGTGGTTACTAGGCTGTTACCATGTGGATGATAGAATGTTTTAGGTGGTTGCTAGGCCGTTACTAGGTGGATGATTGAATGTTTCGGGTAGTTCCGAGGCGTTAGTAGGTGGATGTTAGAGTGTTCTGGGTGGTTGTTTGGGCATTACTTTATGAATGCTAGAGTATTCTAGAGTAATGCAAGGGTGTTACTAGGTGGATACTAGAGTGTTCTGGGTTAGGGTGTTACTTGGTGGATGATAGAATCTTCTGGGTGGTTTCTAGCCATTACTAGATGGGTAATTGAATATGTTGGATGGTTGCTAGGTGGATGCTAGAGTGTTCTGGATGGTTGTTAGGACATTACTTGGTGGATGCTAGAGAGTTCTGGGTGGTTGCTAGGTCATTATTGGGGGATGATGGAATGTTTTGGGTGGTTGCTAGGCATTAGTAAGTAGATGTTTGAGTGTTCTGGTTGGAATGTTTTGGGTGGTTGCTTGGCATTACTACGTGGGTTGTTGTTGGTTTTAGAACAACGAGTGTTCTTGTTGGTTGCTAGGCCGTTACAAGGCTGATTATAGAAAGTTTTGGGTGGTTGTTTGGGCGTTACTTGGTGGATGCTAGAGTGTTCTGGGCTGTGTTTCCCAAAAGCATTGAAAGCCTAAGTTGATCGTAAAACCATTGCCACCAATGGTCTCTTTGTTCAACTTAGGCTTATCAGTACTATGTTTTTGGAAAATGCAGCCCCTGGTGGTTACTAGGCTGTTACCATGTGGATGATAGAATGTTTTAGGTGGTTGCTAGGCCGTTACTAGGTGGATGATTGAATGTTTCGGGTAGTTCCGAGGCGTTAGTAGGTGGATGTTAGAGTGTTCTGGGTGGTTGTTTGGGCATTACTTTATGAATGCTAGAGTATTCTAGAGTAATGCAATGGTGTTACTAGGTGGATACTAGAGAGTTCTGGGTTAGGGTGTTACTTGGTGGATGATAGAATCTTCTGGGTGGTTTCTAGCCATTACTAGATGGGTAATTGAATATGTTGGATGGTTGCTAGGTGGATGCTAGAGTGTTCTGGATGGTTGTTAGGACATTACTTGGTGGATGCCAGAGAGTTCTGGGTGGTTGCTAGGTCATTATTGGGGGATGATGGAATGTTTTGGGTGGTTGCTAGGCATTAGTAAGTAGATGTTTGAGTGTTCTGGTTGGAATGTTTTGGGTGGTTGCTTGGCATTACTACGTGGGTTCTTGTTGGTTTTAGTAGAACAAGGAGTGTTCTTGTTGGTTGCTAGGCCGTTACAAGGCTGATTATAGAAAGTTTTGGGTGGTTGTTTGGGCATTACTTGGTGGATGCTAGAGTGTTCTGGGCTGTGTTTCCCAAAAGCATTGAAAGCCTAAGTTGATCGTAGAACCATTGCCACCAATGGTCTCTTTGTTCAACTTAGGCTTATCGGCACTATGTTTTTGGAAAATGCAGCCCCTGGTGGTTACTAGGCTGTTACCATGTGGGTGATAGAATGTTTTAGGTGGTTACTAGGCCATTACTAGGTGGATGATAGAATGTTTCGGGTAGTTGCGAGGCATTCGTAGGTGGATGTTAGAGTGAATGGGTGGTTGCTTGATGAATGCTAGAGTATTCGGGGTGCTAGGGTGTTACTTAGTTGAATGTCACAGTGTTTGGGTGGTTATGTGTGTGCTGGCTGGGTACTAGGCCATGACTTGTTAAAGGATGTTAAAGTGTTCAGAGTGGTTGCTAGTCTGTTACTATGCAGATACTACAGTGTTCTGGGTGGATGCTATGATGTTTTGGATGGTGGCTTTCTACCCCTGAGTATGAGCAATCGTGATGCAAGCCTTATGTTTCACACCATTTAAATCCCAATGGATAAAATCATCTGGTGTTAATGATGCCTCAACAGCGTGAAATCATGAGCCATTACATTATCTCAACATTTACAACACCCATATGGTTCCCCAGGATCCTTTGAATGTCCCTTGAATCTCAGTGCGCTCATTTGGAAGTCAGCAGCTTCAACCATCCTCCATTACGGTAGATCGGCAATGTGATTTGAAGGCAAGATTCAGACTCTCAATGAGCACCTGAACTTCAATTAGTGACACCTTTTAAGAGTTGTTTTTCAGCTGATTCGGTTATGTCAGGCTCCCTCTGTCTTCCTCTTCCATTTCTTTCTGTCCTCCGTAACCTCCTTTGCGAACACCCGTAGAGGGGTTTCGCTTATTCGTAAAGAATGAGGGATGAGAAGGAGGGATAATTGTGTTGGATGGAGCCAGTAATTGATAGCAGCAGTAAAAGGATTTCCAACAAGCCAGGTCATGATGCAATTAATCACGAGTGTTTGTGAATGCGTATCTGTTTCCAGCGTGTGTGCGAGAGTCTCTTATCGATTACGGAGAGGTTGGACACATCTGTTAGACGCTTCTGATGACCTTGGATGTTCCCTGAATACTGTGCAGTTTCTTTGAGATTAATGTAATATGTAGATCTGCTCAGTTAAATACACTGTTTCAGACACACAGGTGTTACGTTTGCCAGACCAGCGGCACATAGGAACAATGGCTTTACTGTGATGCAATAAATCATTTTTATTCTCTCTCTCTCTTCAAAACTCTCTCTTTAACTTTAATTTGTATTTAAAGACTTCATCAGAAAGTATATTATACTGTATGTAATGATTCATTAGTCCTAAAAGTTGTGAAGACCCTTCTGGATGGTGCTAGAGTGTTATGGCTGGTTGCTTTTATTTTTGTCTTTATTTAGATAGTATAGCTGGAGAGAGGACAGGAAGCAAAGTCGGAGAGAGAGGAAGTCTGGGTCGGGATCGCAAGTCGGGATCATAGACTGTAAAAAAAATATGGTCAGCTCATCTCCGCTACCTTCCACTGTAGAAAAAAAAAAATAAGTCGTTTGGAACCCAAGTCTGCACAATGGTAATCCTGAGGTGGAGCTGCGGCATCAAGGTCCGCCCAAACGCCTGCAGACTCAATCGCAAGCACAGCTGTTAATCATGACATCACACCACGTTTTTATAGCATCACAAATCTAACTAAAACCTGGAAACTGGTACTGGGGAACACAGGTCTGCATGATGAGAACTACATAAAACGACTGAAGCCATTTTTGTAAAAAAAAAAATATTGAAATGTAATTGGAATTTTTTAGTTTTGCTTGTGTTCCATGCGATTACATGGAGAGGGCGGTGTTTAAGACCTATACTGCAGCCAGCCACCGGGGGGCGATCGAAATGCTTTGGCTTAACTTTTCTAGACCTGTTTGGCACACTTGGTAAGGAATTGAACTCGGGTTGCCCGAAGCACAACTTCACTACTTGTTAGAACACTGCCTAGGAAGCCATCGGCTCTAACTGGTTGCTAAAATTTAACAAGATTGATGCTAGAATTTGGTGGTTGCTAGGGTATTTCTAGATGGATTCTAGACCATTCTGGGTGATAGCTAGGATTTTGTGGGTGGTTGGTACATCGTTATTTTGGTGGGTGTTTTGGATGGTTGCTAGGCCATTAGGTGAATGATAGAATGTGTGGGTTTTTGCTTGGATGCTACTAAGTGGATGCTAGAGTAGTCTTGATGGTTGCAATAGTTTACAAGAGTGATGCTAGAACTGTGTGACCGTTTGGATGTGCTAGATGGTTGCTAGGCTGTAACTAGGTGGATGCTACAGTGTTCTGGGTGGTTACCAGGCAGTTGCTAGGTGAATGCTAGAATATTCAGGGTTTTTTACTAAATAGATGCGAGAGTGTTGTGGTTTCTAGGTCTTTATTAGGTGGTTTCTAGGGTCTTTGTTGGGATTTCTAAGTTTTTTACAGATTTTAGGAAGCACCACTAATAACATTAACATTTCGGAATTTTCACAATCAAATCTAGATGGATCCCACTGTACAATATTTCATTTTACATTATGAAAATACAATATATTTGATGTTATTTGATATTTAATTACAGAATGAAAACAGTAATGGTCTTGAAATAAACTGATTTTTGTAGACTTAGTAGTATTGACAATAATAGTATTGGTCTTGTATGTTGTTGTTTGTGTGTACGTTCAGGTTTGTTTGGGAGAAGGATGGTCAGGTGATCATCCCCCAGTCTCTGCCTCGAATGCGACTGGATGTCAACGGAACGCTGCACATCTCTCAGACCTGGTCAGGTGACATCGGCACATACACCTGCAGAGTGACATCAGTGGGCGGCAATGATTCCCGCAGCGCACACTTACGCGTGAGGTCAGAGATGAAAACGCTATCCCATCATCCTCTCTGCTCTGTTCCCTATCCACGCAGTCCTTCATCTCTTCTGATCATTTCTTTTTGATTTGGTCTGTCTCCTGCTCTCTGAATCGTACCTCATTCAGTTTTTCAATATCACCTGCACTCATTCGGTCGTTGCCTCCATTTTTTAATTTAATAGCACAGTTGTTATTATCTGCTCCCATTTTTTTTTTTTCTGTTCTCATTTTTTTTTTGTTCATCTCATTTCTCTTTTTTTCCATCAAACATGTTTTGATTAACCTTGTCTTTTTCTTTTTTGTTTTACTTTCATTATTGATTGATAATCCTGTAGTCATTTTAAACGCATTCATTCATTTCCACGCTTCTCCACTGTCAAACATTCCCATTCTCTCTTTAAACTCATTTTTTATTCCTGTCATATATAAGGAATATATATATATCAAGTATATAAATAGTCAACTACTAGATACTAGATGTAACATTCCACCTCGACCTCTGTTTTATAGAATGACCCTTTAATGTACTTGTTCTCTTTAGATATTAGATATGCTTCTTGGAGTGCTCATTAAATGGCCCTGAAAAGTAATGACTATCTCACGCTTTCTTCTTCTGAAATAACATATTACCCACAGGCAGTTGCCTCATGCCCCTGAGAACCCCACCGCAGTGTTAAGCACCTCAGAGAAGAGAGCCATAAACCTCACGTGGGCCAAACCTTTTGACGGGAACAGCCCTCTCATTCACTACATTCTGGAAGTATCTGAAAACAGTGAGTTAAGACCTCATGTGGATCATTAATCTTGATTAGTTGTGTGACACTGATATGTGTCTTGTTATTAATTTCACTGATGATGTTCTGAAAGTCATAATAATGTTAAATATTATGAAAAAAGTTGTTATTAATTAAAAGTTATTATTAATATAATATGATCAACATAATTTTGTTTTTAGTAAACGAATAATAATTATTATTATTACTATTATATTAATACAATTATGTGTGCCATTATAATAACAAACATCAATGAAAATATTTATTTGTAGTAGTAGCTGTAGTATTATTAAAACAATCTAAACAAAACTAATTATTATTGCTGTTTTTATTGTTATAATTTTTTTAAATTATTATTATTAATTAAAATAGTCATATAATCAGCATTATTATTATTAATAAAATAATATGAATACAATTATTTATTTTTCATAATAACATAAACATTCCTATTATTATACATAAACATTCCTTTCTTTATAATTGTATTATTATTATTATAGCTAACTAATCATTTTTACATTGTGTTTTTTATTATCAAAATAATGTATTAAAACATACTAATGAAAGTATTATTATTTATTTATTATATATTATTATATATATTGATTATATTTATTATTTTCTTCATATGTTTCTGTTCTTCGTATCACCTTCTGGGTTTTCTAACCAACAAATAGAACAACTAAACTTGAAAGGCTCTTCAGTGGCTGTACAGGACCTGAAGAAAATTGTCCTATGAAATCCTCTTTTTTTATTTTTAAGAATGTTGGTTTAGTTCATTGTGTGTCCTTCGTTATCTGCTCTACACAGACGCTCCTTGGACGGTCCTGTTGGCTAACATTGAGCCAGAGTCGGCCGCTGTAACGGTCAACGGGTTGATCCCGGCACGCTCATACCAGTTCCGTCTGTGTGCCGTCAACGACGTTGGCAAAGGCCAGTTCAGCAAGGAGACTGACCGGTGAGCTGATCACGGGGTCCTAAAGCCCGTTGAGTATCATTGCTGTGCCCTGTTTGACCATCGAGATAACACTATCACTCTGTCACAGCATGTGAAAATTGCCTGTGCTCTCATGGGACAGTGTCTGAGAGGATTTATCTGTCTGAACGCTCTGTGTGTATACGGCTGTATTTCTCTTGGATGTGTTTATGTGTGTCAGTGTATCTTCCAAGGATCAGTGTAATCAAAGCCCTCGGCATGTAAAGGAAGCTTTTCAACACTTAAATTAGACATTCAGCAAATGCCCCCATCAGAACGGACACAAATCCCTCTGGTTCTCCAGAGGTTTGAGAAAAAACCTATTTTAGCTACGATAATCCCAACTCAGAATATACCGGGCGAAACCAGCCTTTATAATAGAGAGATACAGAGAGATCATTTTACAGCTGTATTACATCTCAGACTGTATATAGCACTGACGGATCATTTGCACTTGGAGTAAAATACACTCACCTAAAGGATTATTAGGAACACGAACACCATACTAATACTGTGTTTGACCCCCTTTCGCCTTCAGAACTGCCTTAATTCTACGTGGCATTGATTCAACAAGATGCTGAAAGCGTTCTTTAGAAATGTTGGGCCATATTGATAGGATAGCATCTTACAGTTGATGGAGATTTGTGGGATGCACATCCAGGGCACGAAGCTCCCGTTCCACCACATCCCAAAGATGCTCAATTGGGTTGAGATCTGGTGACTGTGGGGGCCATTTTAGTACAGTGAACTCATTGTCATAGTCAAGAAACCATTTTGAAATGATTCAAGCTTTTTAACATGGTGCATTATCCTGCTGGAATTAGCCATCAAATGATGGGTACATGGGTGGCCATAAAGGGAGGGACATGGTCAGAAACAATGCTCGGGTAGGCTGTGGCATTTAAACGATGCCCAATTGGCACTAAGGGGCCTAAAGTGTGCCAAGAAAACATCCCCCACACCATTACACCACCACCACCAGCCTGCACAGTGGTAACAAGGCATGATGGATCCATGTTATCATTCTGTATACGCCAAATTCTGACTCTACCATCTGAATGTCTCAACAGAAATCGAGACTCATCAGACCAGGCAACACTTTTCAGTCTTCAACTGTCCAATTTTGTAGCCTCTTTTTCCTATTTGTAGTGGAGATGAGTCGTACCCAATGGGGTATTCTGTTGTTGTAGCCCATCCGCCTCAAGGTTGTGCGTGTTGTGGCTTCACAAATGCTTTGCTGCACACCTCGGTTGTAACGAGTGGTTATTTCAGTCAAAGTTGCTCTTCTATCAGCCTGAATCAGTCTGCCCATTCTCCTCTGACCTCTAGCATCAACAAGGCATTTTCACCCACAGGACTGCCGCATACTGAATGTTTTTCCCTTTTCACACCATTCTTTGTAAACCCTAGAAATGGTTGAGCGTGAAAATCCCAGTAACTGAGCAGATTGTGAAATACTCAGAGCGGCCCATCTGGCGCTTAATGAGAAATTGAACAAGTGTTCCTAATAATCTTTTGAGTGAGTGTAAGTCCCGCCTTCCAAGTAAAAGAGCCAATCGTCAATCAGCAATGTCATCGCTTTGTGTTCCTGACAGTTCTAGACTGGACCAACCTGGATTTATTTATTTTTTTCACCAATCATGTTCTATTTGTTGTTTTGGTAGTTTTGACGTTTGGAGTCATTTGGCATTTCCTCAAAAAAGAAAAGTTCAGAACCATGCATCTTTCATTTATATTGTAACACAGCTCCCTGCAATACTCGATTCTGATTCAGACTGCTCAAGTGGGTACTTATTGAGGTAATAAAACATGTCAAATTGAGATTTTGTGTTCAATTATTGGCAAGTGGCAGCCTAATATGCCAGATAATTTTGTAGTGGGTTCTTGTATCACCTTGAAGAGGTTTCTTTTGCATAACTATCTGCTGACAGTACACTATCCTTTAGCCTCCCCCGGTAGGGCTCAAGCCCCCCCAAACGCAATCAAATAATCACGTATGTTCACCTTCTCTCCTCAGGGTCTCTCTTCCAGAAGAGCCACCCAGCGCTCCCCCTCAGAACGTCATTGCCAGTGGCCGCACCAACCAGTCCATCATGATTCAGTGGCAGCCACCACCAGAAAGCCACCAAAATGGCATCCTGAGAGGATACATCATCCGGTGAGACATGTTTACTCATGTCTGGGGTCTGATTGTATCTTATACCCTTAGTTTTTTCTATGTTTTACACTTATTTCACTCTCAATCTTCTGCTGTCTGTTTTTCCCAGTCAACGCCAATATGATTCTTTTCCAGCTGGTCTAAATTCTCTTTCTCCACAGCAGGTTTGAGGGGAAATTTGATTGTATTGTATTATTTCAAGGCCACTCCAGGATTTGAGCACTTCAGGGCATTTTCCTCCGTCAGTGATGACAGTGAAATGGACTTTTTGTTCATTTATTTATATATTTTTTCCCTGTTCATCATTGAGGAAAGCTGAAGGCCGTCTTTGATATTGCAAACCTTGGTCACTCGCCCCATATGGTCCTCGGCTCAGCTCAAAGAAAACGTACAGAATGGCATGACATTTCTAGAGTGGTTCTTTCTCGCCCCCTGTTGCTCATATATGGTACTGCGGTACAAAAACCAACAGACAGATCTGATTATGAAGAGTAGATGAGATGAGGTATATTTTTAGAAATGCTTATCAGAGCCCTTCAGAGAGTGTTATCTCGAGGAAATGTTCTCCTCTGTCAAAGCTCTGTCCGTTAAGATCAGAAAATCTTTGCATCTGTCCTTGACACTAACAATATAGCCCTCTGCTAATCTCAGGTATCGCCTGACCGGTCTGCCTGTGGATATCCAGTATAAAAACATCTCCAACCCTGATGTCACCAACCTCCTGCTGGAGGATCTCATCATCTGGACTAATTATGAAATCGAGGTGGCTGCCTATAATGGAGCTGGACTAGGTGTTTACTGCCATAAGGTTACAGAGTGGACACTCCAGGGAGGTGAGGGTTTAGATCCGATTCATTCATTCATACACTAATGTTCAAAAGTGTGTGGTCAGATTTAAAAAAAATACTAATAAATTAAGACACTGATACTTTTATTCAGCAAGAAATGATTAAATTGATGAAAAGCAACACTAAATAAATGTGTAATGTCACAAGATATTTCTATAATAATAAAAGCTGGTATTTAAATTTTTATGTGTATCAGAGAATCCTGAAAAAAGATTTTTAAGAGGAACAACTGGTTTCAACATTGATAATAATGTTTCTTGAGCAAATAAAAAAAAAATGTAAATATATTTTCAAATGTAAAAACAGCTATTTTAAATGATGATATTTCACAATATTATTATTTTTACTGTATATTTGATAATGCAGACTTGGTGAGCATATTGAGACTTTTCAAAAATATTAAAAAAGTAACAGACCCCAAACTTTTGAAAAAGAGTGTATGTTTGTTTGTATGTTTAATTTATTTATTTGGATTTTAAAAGAATGCTTCATCCAAAAATGAATCATTTACTAATATCTGTCATAAATTATATTATTCCAAACTTGCATACTGTTGTTGTTGTTGTTGTTGTTGTTGTTGTTGTTGTTGTTAATTTTTCAAATCAGTGTTTCACAGTCATTTCCATTCAGTAGTAAAAACAGACAACCCCCCCCAATGCACTAAATTCTTGTGCAGTTCTACGAGAGAGCAAACCAAAATATACATATTTATTTATTTATTTATTTTTACTGAAAATCAAAGTTTGAGGTCACTGTGAACTGTTACTGTACGTGAAAGAGCTGTGTATAAATTATTTAAAAACAATCCCTTTTGTGTTCCTTTAAAAAAATGTCAGTGTATGAGTTTGGAACAATATGAGGCATATTTTGGTAATTATTCCTTTAAAACGCTACCGTTTAGTCGTCTAAAATCTACAGTATAATTTGTGAAAACAGAGCTGATTATTTTCTCATCAGTTTTCTGGGGTTTAGCATCTGAAATGTGTTACCTAAAAAAGAAGTCTCATTTGTTTCCGTCTCTTTCTTCCTTATTCCATTTTACCTGTCAACCAGTTCCCACCATCGCTCCAGGCAACGTGAAAGCAGAGCCCGTCAACTCCACCACTATCCGCTTCACCTGGACAGCCCCGAACCCGCAGTTCATTAACGGCATCAACCAGGGCTACAAGGTAAACGCTGAAGGAATGAGAAGAAATCAGCATTCAGATCTGATCCAAAAATGCATTAATCTTAGCGTTAGAGTTTGTTGAGGAGCTTTCATGCAAGGGTAACCAAAGGTCCAGAATTGATCCTCTTGTTACTCTAGTTCTTTAAAGCCAGACTGTCTCTGGAAAGAATTGTTTAGGACAATTACAAAATGGAGACAGTCAGCCAGACACATTAATCTTAAAATAGCTTATTAGCTAGGTTTAGATTCGGTCCCAGGCAACATCAGCTGGGATTGGAGGGAATATTTGTCTGCAGGCTTTTTCTCTCTCTCTGTGGAGTCATTCCAGATCAATCTTATAACTCTCATTCTCTTTTTAGTGCCCTCAGAGGAGAGTTTCAAGTGTCTATAAACTTTGAAATGCCAAGTAATCCACGGTAGTATTGGTACAAGAGAGGAAATCTGTGACTGTTCAGCCATTGTCAGAGGGAACTCACTTAGAATCAATCAGGCTCACTGATGGATGGTGTTATTTGAACAATATTTAGAAATGTCATTTCTAAATTAAGTAATTGTGCAAAAAATGTGTCAACACAAAGGGCAGTTCAGTCTAACAGACCAGTTTGGTACACACGTGTATGTATGTATGTATATATGTGTGTACACTCTGGTTGTTGGGTTGTTTAAACCCAAATGCTGGGTTGTTTTAACCCAAATTTGGGTCAAATATGGACAAACCCAAATGTTGGGTTAAAACAACCCAGCATTTAGAGTGTATATATGTACACAACACACACCCATATACAGTATGTATGCATATATATATATATATATATATATACTGTATATAAACCAAAATACTGTATATATATAAATAAATAGTAAAGAAGTAAAGCAAAAAAAAGTTACAAATAAATTAAAACTGGATAATTTATCTTATTCCCTCATTCTTTTTAGCTGTTAGCATGGGAGCCAGGAAAGGAAGATGAGATGACAGTAGTGACAGTTCGGCCAAACTTCCAGGACAGCGTTCACGTGGGCCACATCACCGGCTTGAAGAAGTTCTCGGAGTACTTCACCTCTGTGCTCTGCTTCACCACACCTGGAGATGGTCCTCGCAGCTCTCCACGACGCCTGCGCACACATGAAGACAGTGAGTGCTGTTCCCACACACACGTTCTCACTCAACATATTTTGTTGATTCTTGAACAACTTTCCTGTCTGAAAATATAATTCTAACCATATCCCTACCCCATAAGGTATCCCTAAAACAAGAAGGAAATGATAGGTGAATAAGACTGATGTAGAACCTGGTTGAACCTTCACATAAACTGTAAACATTTCCCTCAAATCTGATTGGTTGATTGGAATGTTGTTCCAGGATCAAAAAAGATTTTGATCCAGGAACATGTTGGTAGAATCAGGTTCTGCCTCAGTGGTTAATTCATCACAGGTACAGTAAGTTGCGATGGCATTAGCTTTTGGATCTCAGGAGTATGTGTCACCAACCGTTGAAGCATTACATTTAAAGGGATACTCCACTTGTTTTTTTTTTTAAATAGGCTCATTTTACAACTCCCCCAGAGGTAAACAGTTGAGTTTTACCATTTTTGAATCCATCATTCTGGTCTCATTGACTACCATAGTATATATTTTTTCATACTATGGAAGTCAATGAGACCAGAAACGGTCTGGATACTGATATTCTTCTAAATATCAGAAAATCGGCTGAATTGATTCGAAAACGGTAAAACTCAACTGTTTAACTCTGGGGGAGTTGTAAAATGAGCCTATTTCCAAAAAAAGTGGAGTATCCCTTTAAGTGAAAATGAATGGCAGGTAATATCCACCAATATAATTCAATATGTGGTTTGAAACTAGTGGAAATTGGAGGTTAGTGTAGAACTGCTACTATTCCGGTAATTAAACACATGTTTTGAAAGTTAAGATTGTTGCTTAATTAATGGTCTGACACTTACATGTGTCATTATATGATTAACATTTGACCAAAATCATGCTCAAATCACGTTTTTTAAGCCGTATTATTGATGATCAGTGCTTTCAAGACCAACCATTGGAAGCAGGATAACCTATGCCCATGTTTTAATGGAAACCACACTCACATCTCCAGGTATTCTGTACCTGTGAAGGTCTCACAGCCTGATCCCTGTCCTGTATTTTCAGCTCCTGGTGCTGTGGGTCACCTGAGCTTCACTGAGATTCTAGACACTTCTCTCAAAGTCAGCTGGAGAGAACCCAATGAGAAGAACGGTGTTCTGACTGGTGAGATTTTAATCTATTATTAACACATTTTTATCGAAGAAATATTTTTTTCTTTGCTCCGTTGATGACTTCTTCAGAACCAATCACATATCAAGTGTATGAGACAGGATTTCTTTGTTGTTTGCTAGATTGTCCAGAATGACTTGCATGTTATTGTGGGCGAGCAGTTATAGTTTTTTGAACAATTTTAAAGCTTATGTTTCTTGTTAGAAGCAACAAAGCTATTTGTGATTATTGGATGAGAGGCGCGCTAGGGAAAAAACGTAGACCTGGCAACCCTTACTTGAACTACTTGTGAATCATTTTATGTTGCTAGTTTTTAACTATTAATGTGTTTTTGTCAAATTAACTTCCCGTAAATTCAAAACAAGAAAAATGTTCTTCACAGACAGTACGAGTTGCAGTCTGAACACGTTTTTCCGCCTCTTTTGAATGAGAGGATATAATCGGCCCTGGTCATCGGCAGTTTTTAAACAATCGGCTGATGGATAGTGAAAGCCCTTGCTTTTATCGTGCATCTCTAATATTATATTTGTTTCCTAGGGTACCGTATATCATGGGAGGAGTACAACCGTACTAACACTCGGGTTACACACTACCTGCCTAATGTTACTCTGGAATACAGAGTCACTGGACTAACCGCTCTCACCACGTACACCATTGAGGTGGCCGGAATGACCTCTAAGGGTCAGGGTCAGCTGTCATCTTCAACAATCTCTTCAGGAGTACCACCAGGTAAAGCAGTGAATGCTTGAATGCACACACCAGCCAAAACAGTTTTGGCAAATTGCACATTAAAACCAGACCGGAAAAAGGTCTGGAATGCTAACAGGAGAAGAGCAAACGCACACATACTCTTCTCTGTCCCTGAACCAGCTTTAGACCACCACTGGTTTTAGGAGCTCCCATTAAAAGGACTACAGAGGGTTATAAAGTTAAACGTCTGAGCTCTCGTTATTGCATCAACGCAGCACAAACACACGGACGTGAAGTTCACTGTTACGACTCCCAGGCCAGAGATCATTTCGTCTTTATTGTTTCATTAGACAGTCTATGGATTCCAGACTCAAACCTTGTACGAACCGAACACATTCAAGAGTAAATGTAGACGTTTAAAGATGTATGAATCCTGAACTCTCATAGCGTCGCGCCACGTAGCCCTTATTAAGTTATACAGACCCTGCTGCTTTCATGACATTCCCCCCAGTGTTTTATTGGAGGCATATTTCAACTTATGATAATAAGCTGGGGAACAGCTGTGAGTGTGGAATGATTTGTACCACCGTTCTCCTTCATTTCTGCCTTTCACACAGACATTTAACAGTGAGAAAACTACAGAAACAGTACATTTAGTGCTGCTTGCTAATTGTTATGGTGTAAAACCATCCCAAAAAAAAAAAAAAAAACCCTGTACCAGTACCCGTGCTACAACTCTGAACACCCTAGCAACCACCCAGAACACCCTAGCAACCACACAGCCATAGTCAGGCAAACACCTCAGATACCTTAGAAACCACTCAGATCACCATAACAAACAACAACACACTAACAGCAACGTCAAAACACTGCCAACAATATAGCAACTCACATTTTATTAATACTAAATAAAAAAATGTTACTGAATGAGAAAAATTTATCATTTATTTAGTTTTACTTCATCAAGTCTTATCTTACCAGAAGAGGGCGCCATAACACAGCTAAACATTTTCACACTTCACTACATTCTTTTAATACTTAAACTTTTTTTTTCTATTTAGGATTTATTGCAAAAATTATATTCTTGATTAAATAAAACTAAAGAACTTCTTGCATTGTAAACTATAACAGTCTATTCTCTCTTGCGATACAGAGCTTCCCGGGCCTCCCACAAACTTGGCCATCTCAAACATCGGCCCTCGATCAGTAACCTTACAGTACAAGCCAGGATATGATGGCAAGACTTCAATTTCTCGTTGGCAGGTGGAGGCCCAGGTGGGTCACTCTCTATTTAAGGGGGTGATGCTTTCACAATCTAGACTTGATCTTTGCCTGAACACTTGCATGAATCTCTCTCTATTGTCTTCTGCTTTCAGGTGGGTATCATTGGAGAGAATGAGGATTGGGTGATGGTCCATCAGCTGGCCAATGAGCCTGATGCTCGCTCTCTGGAGGTCTCCGGCCTCAACCCCTATACCTTTTATAGGTGACTTTTATTATTCAAGCAATTTTTTTTTTACATTTTATTGTTTATATATATATATATATATATATATATTATATTATATATTTATATATATTTATTATTTATATATTATGTAATTATTTTTTTATTAAGATTTATTTAGTTGACTATGCAACAATTCTAATTTCCGTTTAAGTTTTAATATTTCATTTTATATTTTTATTGTGCATTTTATTTCAGTTAACGAAAATATTTTTGGTAACACTTTAGTTTTGGGTCCAATTCTCACTATTAACTTGTTGCTTATTAGTATGCATATTACTAAGAGATTGGCTGTTTATTAGTACTTATAAATGATATACGTATAAATGCCTGACTTATTCTGTATGACCATAGCCTTAATCATACACAATACTTATTTAATTAACTGTTAATAAGCATTTATTAGGTGTTTATTGAGGCAAAGTCTAATAGTGAGAACTGAACCCTAATCTAAAGTGTGAGCATATTTTTTAATGGTTTTAACTTTACTTTAAGTTAACAATAACAACACTGTTGGTGTTGGATCACCCAAGATGGATGTCAATGTATAAATGGCCATGTTTATTTGGATTTGCAGGTTCCGTATGCGTCAGGTGAACATAGTGGGCACCAGTCCACCCAGCCAGCCTTCCAGAAAGATCCAGACCCTTCAGGCTTCTCCTGATATTGCCCCCGCAAATGTCACCCTGCGGACAGCCAGCGAGACCAGCCTCTGGCTCCGATGGGTGGTATGTTCTAGATCTGGAATCTAAACCATACACATGACACTGAGACACAAACTCACTCTCTCATTTATGACCGTCTATCAGCCTCTTCCTGAATGGGAGTACAACGGGAACCCTGATTCGGTGGGATACCGTGTGCAGTACAGCAGGACTGGAGCTCAGTCTAAAGCCCTACTGCACGTCATCGCTGACCGCTTGGAGAGAGAGTTCACCATCGAGGACCTGGAGGAGTGGACGGAGTATGAGGTCAGAGTTCAGGCCATCAATGGCATCGGAGCAGGACCGTGGAGTCAACCCGTACGCGGAAGAACCCGAGAGTCCGGTAAAGAGAAACAAGGCTTCAGAAGTTTCAGTAATCTAGAGCTTACCATGTCTATTTAATGCAATATTTTATGAATAATTCATTTTAATTATACTTAAACTTATTTTAAACTCACTAAAGACCACATAAATAATTGTATATACGTTTTATACATATACATACATTTTATACATCATTTTATGATTATTTAATCAACTTTTATCATAAGTCACATTACAATGACTGTAGATTGGTTTATTGTTGTTGATGTAATGATTAATGGTCATTCTGTAATTAAATGATTGATACATTAATATAGTATACAGTACATCTTCATTCACAAGAGTGAAAATATAAATTAACTATTTTAAGGCCAGACTATCTAAATGGAACTATCCATTTTATAATATGGAATGGAAAATTGTTTAAATGATAACATATGTTGAGCTCAATGCATATCTTAAATCATTTATCATATATGGTCTGTGGGCACAGGATTTCCTGTTAAAACAGACTGGGCACAAATCTACACACACATGCACTGACTTCCTCTGGACCACCTCTTTTTCCCCTTCTCAGCTCAGTCTCCGTGGTTACCAGAATTCAGGGAAGCAAGTTTGGGATTAATAAGCGGGTGTTGAGGAAATTGGTAACACATGGGGCTGTACACATGACTCCCCTGATTTTTCTTTAGCCAATCAATCGTGCACTCCGTGTCTGGGGATTTGTGCCGCAGAGTGATTCTCTGTTACTCCCCCAATAATGGTCAAAATCTGGTGTCTTCCAGACCTCTCTGCCTTTGATATGTGTATAGCCATCAGCACACGTAATCCCCCCCCAGAACACACACACACACACACACACACACACAAACATATACAATGAACATATTCCAGCCCTATTGGAAGGACTTGAGGGCTTGAAATGCATAGGCTTATTCAGAAAGGCTAATGTATCCATATATGCAACTTCCGGCATGAAATGGGAAGTTGCGATAGTCTTTTCTTCTTTATTGTGTATATATGAGTGAAACAGCTTCTCAAACCAAACAAAAAAGTGCGGCGAGGACTTGATTTTGTCCTCTAGGAATTGATTAGATGGTTGTGGTTTGGTCAATCTCATGTGAGTGACAGGTTGTTCCACCCTCGTAGGAAACTAGTCATCAGAGAAGAGTAGAGATGAGTCAAGTCACCTTTTTTATATAGTGCACAGCGTTACAGTGATAACAGGAAAATGATGCATTTCTGCTGTTGTAAGTCAGTTTAGTGTTGATTCAGTTCCATTGTAAAAATCAGAAATTATTAAATTATAAGTCTATAAAGCTGTTCGGCAAAAAAATAAAAAAAATAAAATGTCATCGCTCAGTTTAGTTTTCATACAACAGCGTCAGTACAGACAGATCAATAATATTATTTTTAATATTAAGTTTCCCCAACTAAGCAAGCCAGAGGCAAGGAACCCAAACTCAAAAGTGACAGAATGGAGGGGGGAAAAAGAAACCAAGGAGAAACCAGACTCAGTCGGGCCAGTTCTCCTCTAGCCAACAAACGAACATGGTGTGATTATGATTCAGGCTTCATCACAATTCAGAATTCAGATCGGGATCAATAGCATTAAAATATTCATCCAGATTGCAGATGTTGCTGCAAGAGGGAGGGGAAGTTATGGGCACATAAATAAAAAAAAATAAATAAATATGATATGCATTGATAAATTATTTATAATAAATACCGAAATACTCCAAAAAAAAAAAAAAAAAACAAGAATCGTCTATTTTTGATTTCATGAGGACTTTAACTAACACATCTGTCTTTTATCCACATCTGACTTTAACCAATCGTTCTGTTTTAATGCAGTCCCATCTTGTGGTCCCACAAATGTTTCTGCATTTGCCACTACCTCCAGCAGCATTCTGGTCCGCTGGTTTGAAGTTCCCGAAACTGATCGGAATGGACTTATCCTGGGCTACAAGGTCTGTGAGAAACAAACATAAACACCATTCTTTGAAGCAAAGTTGCAAAAACGACATCTTGAATACATTTGAGTGCATAACACATGACCAAAACTGTTTTGTTTTTTTCCCGTACAATGAATGTGAATGATGACCGCCGCTGTACACTTCAACTTTGATCTATACGTTCTCTTTTACACTTTCAGGTGGCATATAAGGAGAAGGATTCAGACTCTCCACTACAGTTCTGGACGGTGGAAGGAAACGCCAGCCATAGTGTTCAGCTGACCGGACTGGGGAAGTATGTTCTGTATGAGATCCAGGTGCTAGCCTTCACCCGCATCGGAGACGGCCGACCCAGCTCTCCTTCAATCCTGGAGCGAACCCTTGATGATGGTGGGCATGGCAGTACATAAATAAATACCTGCCTTATAATATACTCAGATGTGTGTGTATGATAAGACTGTTTGTTTTCCAGTTCCCGGGCCGCCTGTCGTCATTCTGTTCCCTGAAGTCCGGACCACCTCGGTCAGACTCATCTGGCAGCCACCTTCCCAGCCCAACGGGATCATACTGGGTACAAGATGTTGTTTGCTTGTTTGTCATGTGTGTCGTATGCGTCCATTTCTGTTTTCTGGCATGTTTGTCTTCTGAATGTCCACTTTTTACCATCATGACATTTAGCGCTATTCTATTCTATAATATTCACTAACGACAGTAAAATAGACCATCGTAAGTCAATTTATTGCAGTAATTCCTCTCTCAACCAGTAGAAAATGCTTTGAACACCTGATTGTGCAAGAAAAAAAAGTCATGAACCGGAAAACCGGCTTAATTTTGAAAAAAAAAAAAAAAAAAAAAAAAACGTGATTTAAATTTGTGGTCAAACCTCCACCATAAAGAGAATTATTTACCCTTACTTACAATACCATTCAGAATTTTTAAATGGTTTTGAAAGTCTTATGCTCAACAAAACTGCATTTTTTTTTTATCAGAAATACAGTAAGAATGGTAATATTGTCATTTCTAATGTAATATATTTAAAGATATTCATTTCACCCATTACTTCAGTCTTGAATGTTACATGATCCTTCCTAAATCTTTCTAATATGCTGATTCAGTAATCAAGCATTTATTTATTTATTTTTTATCATGATCAATGCTGCTTTATATTTTTGCGGAAACTGTGATAAAAATAAAAAATAAAAAATCAGAACACAGTACAAAAGAACAGCGTTTATTTGAAATATAATTATTTTGTAACATTATAAATGTCTTTACTGCCACTTTTGATCAATTTAATGCATCCTTGCTAAGTAAAAAGTGTTTACAATTGCTTTCAGTCTTGAACGGCCCCATTGTAAAATGAAATCACATTGGTTTTGCCTGTTTGTGTTTCCTCTAATCAAGAAACAAGCCAAATGTGTTGCATTCTCTCAATTGCACGCAAGGAAAGTCCTGTTCTGATCTCTGTGACGTAATCGGTTCCTTCCTCAGCCTATCAGATCACATACCGCCTGAACTCCACCAATAGCAACACGGCCACGTTTGACGTCTTGAACTCCAGCGCACGGCAGTATACCGTCACCGGACTGAGGCCGGAATCCGTGTACGTGTTCCGTATCAGAGCGCAGACACGCAAGGGATGGGGAGAGGCAGCAGAGGCTATAGTGGTCACCACAGAGAAAAGAGGTAATGCACGTTATCATCAATGGAGCAAGAGACGTTCAAAACTCATCAAAGGTCTTATTTTGACTTTCATGGACCTTATTTCATAAAAACTAGACACACATTCTGTAATTCATCTGTGCTTCCTCTCTCTTGATAAAGCCCCCATCGCTATACAAATAATCTTATTGTCACAGGGTCATGTAATCTGTCACATATCTAGAGTGTGTGTTTGTGTGTCTAAACGGAGATGTTTACAGTCCACTGAGGACCAAATCAATCTCCTCTAGCCAGTTCCGGTTTGGTGTGGTTGGTTTGAGACGTCTGGCGGAAGTTTTGCTGCACTGATTTCCACTCAGGCGAAAGACACATTCCTCTCACAGAGCATCGTAATCAGACCTCGGATTATTTATGCAGTGCACTGATCCAGTGTGGAGATCACAGGTTTTGACTATGAAATATGAGACTCATAAATGTTTTATGATCTAATGTATTTTTTAAAATGTTCACTTTTTTCAGCAGGATTATAAGTGTGAAGTGAAGCAGAGATAATATTGCATGAATATAGACACACAAACCAATAGAGTTATTTTTAAGTGACTATTTGAAAAAGTAGTTAGCTTCACTAAAATTACTAACCAAAAAAGTAGCTTTAATAAATTAGCTTCAAAATATTAAACTATTTAAATTGTCATTTTCTACTTACTATCGCTATTTTTAAGACTTTTTTTTATCAACAAAAACTTTTTGTGATGATCTATATATTCGTTCCATTTTCATCCATCAGATTATGTAACTATATTTTACCATTTAATTCTGCTTTCAGAGCACAATAACAATGAAAAGATCTCAGTTAATGTTAAATTAAATTAGGTTTTACTTAATTTTTGAAAGACTTAAAATTGGTGAATAAATTATTTGAACTAGTTAAACGATTCACATAAATGATTCACGTTGAATAAACTGATTCACAAAAATGCAAATGTTTTGGATGTTCCAACACATCCAAAGTTTGTTTATTGGCTTGGTTTGATTACTTTTCAAGTCTATTTATGGCTGACCTCTGACCCCCAGCTCGGCCCCAGCCCACCAGCCGTCCCACAGTCCCTCAGGAAAACGTACAGGCACGCAGCGTGCTGTTGTCATGGGAACCAGGCAGCGACGGTTTATCACCGGTCCGGTATTACACAGTTCAGGTCCGAGAGCTGCCCGAGAAGAACTGGACGGTTCATTCTGCTTCTGTCAGCCATGACTCCAGCTCCTACATCGTAGACAGGTACAAATAACAAGTTTGAAGCATAAAGTCACAGTACTTCACAGCACAGTTTTTCCATAATGATTAGCATTACTCATCATGTTAGTCATTGTAACTTTATACTGGCTTTATGCAAAGCATATTCTGATTAGCATCCTGTGTTTTGACTCGCATGTGTGATTTTTCTCTCAGACTGAAGCCCTTCACCTCCTATCAGTTCAGAGTGAAGGCCACTAATGACATCGGAGACAGTGACTACAGTGAAGAGAGTGAAGCCATCACAACACTACAGGATGGTTAGAACACTTAACCCTTTCCACTTCTGTACTTTTTATCAATGCTTTATTCTGGATGCACATACACACACACACAACTATAGCGAGTTATCTTCTTAAACATTTTAAGGCATCATAAAAGTTTCAAATGTTCTTAGCAGGTTTCCAAGATGCATAAGCTGGTCTCTCAATCTATCCAGCTGGCAAGTGACCCAAACCCTTCTTAAACCAGCAACAGCGTACAGTAGGTTGCTTAAAATAGCCTTTTGTGGTACAGTAGTTATGGCCAAAATCAAAGTTAGCATCTCATATGTTCTCTAAACAGTGAATGGAGTAGAAATCGGCTGCTCATGAATAAAAAAAGAAAGACAAAGATTGGGAGAATCTCAAACAAATTTCTTCAAAACTAAACAGATACAATTACTGTTTACAAGCAAACACTTAGCAGCATCACTTGGTTCTTCTGGTAAAGCACACTGGACAAGATCTGTTTTAAATTACAGTTTTAGTCAATTTGAGGCTAAAAATGATGGGGTGGAAACTCGCCGTTTCTTAAAGATGGATAAAAATAGTTCAATATAACTTGAATGGATTATTTTGTCCAATATTTATATGTATCAGTAAAATTTTATTTTATTTTTTGAATGAAATTAATACATTTATTCAGCAAGGATGCATTAAATTGATCAAAAATAACAGTGAAGACTTTTACATTGTTACAAATAGTTTCTATTTCAAAAAAATGCTGTTCTTTTAACCTCTTAAGCAAAGAATCCTGAAACAAGTGTCACAATATCACAAAAAATATAGCAGAGCAACTGGTTTCAACATTGAAAATTAAAAAAAAAAAAGTCAAATCAGCATATTAGAAGGATTTCTGAAGGATCATGTGACACTGAAGTAATGTTGCTGAAATAAATTGCATCTTAAAATTGAAAACTGTTATTTTAAATTGTAATATTTTTTTTCCCTGTCGTCGTATTTTTGATTAAATGAAATCAGCCTTGGTGCCATTTAACACCATATTCTTCTCTACATGGCTCCGCCTTCCTCTTTCTCTGAATAAATAGAGCCGAGTCATTCTGTGTGTGATGTGCATCTCATGAATTGACCATTATGCTGCACACAGATGCTCTTCTGCCTGTATTACCACAGTACTGTTTTATAGCCATAGGTTTAGATGCTATTGTGTTCCAGCAATGACATCATTGCTGGAGGCAGTCGAGTAAATGAGGTAATACAGTATCTCTGGTTGCTACGAGACTAAATGTTACCCAAGCAACTCTAGTGAAGAGAGACAGGCCCTTCATAATGCCTGTTTAAAGCCCCGACGCAGCAAATCAGGCTGTAAGACAGGCTTGGCATGTTCATCAATGCAGTGTTTATGTAGCGTAAGACATTGTAGCTGATGCGGCAAAACATTCACAATGATTCCAAGTAGTTAACGTTCTGTCTCTGTCTATTTAATTGCATCTCTTGCTCTCTCCAGCTCCAGATGAATCTCCCACAATCCTGACTGTCACGCCACACACCACAACCTCTGTGCTGATTTGCTGGCAGGTAAGGGGGCGGGGCTTTACGCTAATACATCTGCATCAGCCATGCTTTTCCATCAACGGTTTGTAATAACAGAGCAGGAGGGCACAGTATGTATCTTAAACACACATTCTCAATATCACCCCTGAATTATAATTTGATAGAGGGCTGGTTTTAAAAGCCGCAGGCCTCTGGATCACGTTTTTATCCATTCAGGTGGAAAAAGGTAAATGGTTCCTCTACCAGAACCAGTTGTTTCACGCTTTATTAGGGGGAATTACTCAGATTTGATCGTTAAACTTGAGCTCTAAATTTGCAGGAGTTTGATCTGATGGAGCAAAAAATTATCCCTTCGGATATTAGCAACGAACAGTACATGTGTTTACACAACCGTCAACCGCAAACACAAATCAAGTGGCAAAAGCTTAAAGGCTTAAAAGCTCATCTTTTTTTCTGACAATAGCAGGACAAAGTGAAATTAGTGATGCACCGAAATGAAAAATCTGGGCCGAAACTGAATATTTTGGATGCACTTGGCTGAAAGCCAAAACCAAAAATGCTTTAATATGATTTATTTTTTTATTTTAAATGAATTTTTTTGTATAATTGTATTGTATTATTTATTTATTTATTTATTAAAATTCATTCATTTTAATAATGCTGAATTAAAAAAAAAATTCAAGCAAGATCAGTGAACAAGAGGGTATAGTGTAATTTGCCCAGCGTTCCCCGGCACGGCTATACCACATAGGGCTATTCGTTGGAAATTTCTGTGCATCCCTAATTGCAATTTTGTGAGATGAACAGAACACGAGTAGCACAGAAATTTCACACCTCACCTTTAATGACACTGTTGATTATGTGTGGTGACATTCAGCCTGTCGTGTCGTCCTCAGCCCCCTCCTGAGGAGAAGATTAACGGGATCCTGCTGGGCTTCCGAATCCGATATCGGGAGTTGCTTTATGATCGACTCCGAAGTTTCAGCGTTCACACCATCAGTGGTGCTTCAACCAGCTGGGCAGAACTGACCTGTAAGCATTAAACATTCTGACGATTCCCTTACTAGCGACATATGGTGAGACGTGACCCAAAAATTAACTATGCAACATAATTACCAATGTTGAAACCCTTTTGTTGTAGTGCTTTTGCCTTTTTTTTTTGTTGCACCTAACCAAAAAAATGAGCTCAAAAAACTTCCCCAGGTATCATTGTAGTTAACCAAGCAAGTGTAACTTTTATATATTTAAGCTAATTTCTCACTCTTATTATTTTTCTGATCATATCTTCGTCATAAATGTCCTCCACTTTCTCTCCTGCAGCTCCATATAGTTTGCGGAATCTCAGCGAGCCGTCCCTCACTCAGTACGAGCTGGACCGTAAGTCACTTCCTGTTTGTTCTTGCAATCTGCAATTTTTTTCCTCCCATTAAATTGATATATGATTGTGTCTAATGCAGCACATGTCAAGTCTTGCTTAAGAGTAGAGAATATGCAGCCTGGATGTTTAGGCTAGCTGCTATCAGCAGGCCTGTTCTCACCTCCTAATGAAGTTAAGAGCCGGGTCTGGTTTCTCTCTGCCGTCAATAATGTCTGCAGGAAGAGCAGTATGTCAAATGAGTTCAGATAAGCAGACGGGCTCATCACTTAGACTGGGAGCCGGCATCCTGAGTCAAATTTAATAAAGAAAAATGGTCCAGAAATTAGAGCATAAAACACATTATTTATTTATATATATAGTAGATAAAATCTGTGAAGTGCCAACTATGTATGAAGAAACTGTTATTTGTATTTTTTGCACTTTTGTAGATCTTATGAAGCACAAGCGATATGAAATCAGAATGAGTGTGTACAATGCTGTTGGTGAGGGACCTACTAGCTCACCACAGGAAGTCTTTGTTGGTGAAGCAGGTAAAAACTTGTATTACAGTTATGAAGTCCTTTCTTTGCTGACAAATGAAAAGGAACAGAAATTCACTTCACATCGATGTTCTCTCACAGTTCCCACTGCCCCGCCTCAAAATGTGATCATCCAATCAGCTACCGCCACACAATTTGATGTGACGTGGGACCCGCCTCCGCTGGAAACTCAGAATGGAGACATTCAGGGTTATAAGGTCAGACTCTGGCGACTAAGTGGAAAATGCCTTTAGTGTGACTTGCTTGTGTATATTTCTAAGTTGTTGAATCATGGGGTTTTCTTACTAATGTTGACTATTTAGGCTGGATTCACATAAAAACGCGTAGAAAACGCTGAGCGCTTCCTTTTTCCAAAGCGCTAGGGCGGTTGCGCTCTGGTTGGTTCTTGTCACGTGACCTACTGTGCGCTTATGGCGCGCTTGCGGCATTCTGAAAAGTTGAGATGTTTTTATCTCGATTATCACCGCGACCGCGCCGCTTCCATTTTGAGCGTGCATACCGCGCGCCTACATTTCAAATAACGAACTTGAGCACGCAAAAGACGTGATATGTGAACAGGCCCTTATATCACTTGGTGGAAATGACACTTTTTGAATAATTACAAAATTCTAAATTACAACTTAAAAGATTTTTCGAATGATTCAGCTTCAGTTTTATAAAACAGTTATATCATATATATTTAAAAATGTACTAATTTGTATTTTTCATAATGGATTTTCATATTTTAAAATTGTCTGGGTTGATTACACTCAAATCTATACATAAAAAGGCCAGGTTACAATAATAAATGAGACAGGGAAAATGCTTCCAAGAGTGTTGTAATGTGACCTTCATATAACAAAAAGGGGAAAAAAAGAAATTGTCTTGGGACGTGAAAGTGCTCGGAGTTGTAGAACGCCTAAAATAGACGTACAGAACAATAATATGAGTGTGACCCATTGTTTTCTTATCGCAGATTTTCTTTTGGGAATATCAACGGAAAAACGAGACTGAGAAACTGCGGACACTCTTCCTGCCAGAGGGAGGGGTGAAGCTCAAAAATCTAACGGGCTACACCACCTACATGATCAGTGTTGCTGCTTTCAACGCAGCGGGCGATGGGCCACGCAGTCCACCGACCAGAGGAAGAACCCAACAAGCTGGTGAGGAAACTTAAACAAGTTCTGTCCTCTTCCAGGACCTTCATGCATATCTCAACAAAAACACTTGCTCTGGGTTTGTTAAGCACATATTGTACCAAATTCTGGAAGGCCACTATGGTATCTGCCTGATAGCCCTCCTTTTTCAGGTTTTAAAGCGGTCAGTAATGCCACTTATTTTACAGTAAACACATGGGCAATCAATTGGGAGTTTGGAATTGTGGAAACTATTTCAAATGATTTCATTATTTATGTGTCTAAGACCTTCTGGAATGCGAGACGCTGCTGACAAGTGGCCAAGAAATATCAAAAACTCAACAATCTATCATGCTTCTAATCAGTAAATCTGCTATATGCATTTGTTTGTGTGCTTAAAGTTCGGTCTGATGAAGCAGAGTTATTTCTGCTTGTGGTTTTCATTCAGCATGCCTGTGAGTTTGCTCAGAGCGACTGTGGGACACAGTCTTGAGATTGTTCTCTTCCCCTGGAGTCTAAAAGAAATATGCTTTTCATTGGAGTGCCAAAAGACGTGACCGTTTTTTGTCATCTGATATTGTAAAGTGGTCTTCAGTGTCAAAATGAGTAGATTCCAGGCTGTTTTGTTATATGTGGGCTTTTGTTTTCACCATATTTGCTAATAATTCTAGAAGGGAGAGACGAAGAAACAAGTAGTTTATAATATGGCATGTAAAATGATTTTTGAAGCAAATGTGACAAATATGATAAACTTCACCACTAAGTATAGTCTGATTCTCAAGGGAATGATTCTTATGAACTGGTTCATAATCAATCAAAGACACTCACCAGTCATCTAAAAAGTTAGTTTTCAATCATCAGAGGTTTTAATTAATTAACACCTAACTTGTTTATACATAGGTATTGTATGTTATGCTGCTGTCACTTTAATACACAGATCTAAAATACACATGCTTTTCAATTAATAAGCTTACATAATGTTGGAAACATGTGATGTCACGTGAGCTTGACCACAATAGAGATAAAATGTTGCAAAAAATAACTTTTTTATATGTAGTTAAGATTGTGTGTGGTTGAAATATTATTAAAATTCTTGAGAGCATTGTTTTTCTTCATAGCTTGACAGTTGTTAGTATCATGAATTGCTCGGTAACACTTTACAATAAGATTCATTCGTTAACTACCTTACTAAGAATGATCAATTCTTCAGCATTTATTAACCTTAGTGAATATTAATTTCAGGATTTTCTAATATGTCATTAAAATCAAAGGTTGTATTGTTAACATTAGTTAAAACAGATGAATAAATACTGTAACAAATATATTGCTCATTTACATTTATTGCTATTAGTTATTAATACATTTGGAGCTTAAGTATATAGACTCTTGCTGATTTATTGTACTTCCTTTGCTATCTTCTCACTAGCTGTGTCATCTTCCTCTCTTTCATCTAAAATGATTTGTCTCTGTATTATGTCTCCTCTTTTAAATTTTCCAAAGAATGACAGGCAATTCTACGGAGGCGTATTGCATTCACTTGAAGAAAAAAAATCTACTCTGTTTTTCTGAATTAATGAGTTAATTTTTCATGAGAAAAAAAAATATTTCTCTGTTTTTCTGAATTAATGAGTTAATTTTTCATGAGAAATTTTTTTGCTCTGTTTTTCTGAATTAACGAGGTAATTTTTCATGAGAAAAAAGTTTTTTTTTAATCGTTAATTCAGAAAAACAGAGCAAAAAAAAAAATTCCATGAAAAATTAACTCATTAATTCAGAAAAACAGAGAAAAACTTTTTTTCTCATGAAAAATTAACTCATTAATTCAGAAAAACAGAGCAAAAAAATTTCTCATGAAAAATTAACTCGTTAATTCAGAAAAACAGAGCAAAAAAAAAAATTTCTCATGAAAAATTAACTCATTAATTCAGAAAAACAGAGAAAAAAATTTTTTTCGCATGAAAAATTAACTCATTAATTCAGAAAAACAGAGTAGATTTTTTTTCTCATGAAAAATTAACTCGTTAATTCAGAAAAACAGAGTAGATTTTTTTTTTCTTCAAGTGAATGCAATACGCCTCCATACAATTCTGTTCTAGCTGTGTTTTACTCCAAGAAGGGTTTAAAGTCTCAATCGGGGACGGCAGACGTGTTTAAGCCATTGAGACGGTCTGTCGTGTCTCTCCTGATCTGCAGATGTTTTCTCTTTCAGCTCCCAGCGCTCCCAGTTTCATCCATTTCAGTGAGCTCACCACCACCTCTGTCAACGTGTCGTGGGGCGAGCCTGTCTTCCCTAATGGCATCCTCGAGGGTTACAGACTCATCTACGAGCCCTGCATGCCCGTGGATGGTCAGTGCCTTTCTTGTTTCTTAAGCTTTTGCTTAAAAGTTCATTTTTCCAACAACTTACTAGCTTTACTAGATAATCAAGAGTTAATAACTTTGCTTCTATTTTCAGAACCTTGCTGTCATTTTTCAAATGTCTAGACACAAAACTCAAAACAATTATCACTTCTAGTTGTAACACAGGCTGTCTAATGTTCAAAACATTGCATTGTGCATTCACATCTTTAAAGATATCTTGCACTTGCACAATTATTGGTTCAAAAACAAATTTACTCTGAAATACCATTGAAACTAACTTTAGATCACCCACACACAAGCAACCGATAGTTTCACTGTGTCATTGTTTGTTCAAAAATTAAATATTGTAGAACAAAATAGGTGCTTCATTATAGTACTACATGTACAGTAAATATACATCTCTGTAAAAGTACTGCAGTAGTAGAGAGAATACACACAAAGTGGAATCGTTGAACAAAGTTTGTGATATATTGATGCAAAACACTACAGTACAATCACAACATAGGTTTATTGGAATTAAAGCAAAAATATATAATATTAAAATAGGTTACGTGGATATTGTAGTCTAATTGGTTAATGCTCTACGCTAATTGATGACACTGAATCTCGTAATCTTGAAACTTTCATGATTTACTGTAAACATGGAAGAGTGTGTGTCTGTTTCCATACAACTATCCATTAAGAGTAATGCAACACTTATCATTTTAAGCAGTTGTATCAATTGATAGTTAGATCATTGTAAGGAAATGAATAGATACTCATTTGAAATGTAATGTGTGAATTGAATTAAGTTGTGTCATCATGAACAGGTGGTTTTTTTTTTTTTTTGTTTAATGAACAAATGATCTAAGTTTTATGTGTATTGTATCCAAGCAATTGATAAAACGGTTAGAGTTTTGAAAAATGAGCATTTTGATCTTTGGTTGTGGAAAATGACATCAAGGTTCTGAAAGACAGCACGTGTTTGTAAATGTGTGCGTGTGTGTGAGCTATTGTGTGTGTGGGATATACTATTATAGCATTTATTAACATTTTCAAATAACTTTTATTTTTATATTTCTAGTTTCCATTATATTTCCATTTTAATTTGATTTAAGTTTTGATGATTTCGTTATTTGCTTTTGTCGTTTTTATCACTTTAATTTAGCTTCAAATAATTATTATTTTCATTTTTGTTTGAATAATACTGGTAGTTCAATCTGTTTTATTTCCATTAGTTGCCCAGGCAACCTTTCTAATTACCATTTAAATTTTTTTAATAATTTTTTTTTTTTTTTTTTTCCTTTATTTCAATTGACAAGTTTTCATTTTAGTTAATAAAAACACTGCTTACAAGATAGTCATTGTCCGGTGAAACAGCATCTGTCACAGGTCCTTGAAAAAAAAAAAAAAAAAAATATATATATATATATATATATATATATATATTCATTTTTTGTGTTTTTTTAGTGAATTTGTATTGTCTTATGGATTTCTGGAGGAAACTTAAGGAGTTCAAGCTAAACTTCTGATGATAAAGTATACACTTAGGAAAGTTGTTAGAAGACACACAAATCTTTAAAAATGCATAATGCTGATAATCACACTTAACGGATCATGTGCTTCACTTCTCAAATACTCATTCTTTAACACTACAAACAAGTTGTAGTGAATAATAAAATTACCAGCCAAATTCTAATTTAACTGACCAAACCATTTCGGTTGCATTAGGCATTTGCATTAGTGTTCATTTTGGACATTTCAACGCATTCTCATCCTTTAACGTCATATAGAACGCTATATGACAAAACGGCGCTATACTAAGCACATGGCACAACGTTATCGTTAATATAACACGCGAACCCAAGACGTTATAAATCCTTTAGCGTGAATATGACACGCACACCCTACCCCACACCTAAACTTAGCCCTCACAGCGCGTGTTATATTAACGATAACGGGTGCCATGTGCGTAGTATAGCGCCGTTTTTGCATATAGCGTTCTATATGACGTTAAAGGATGAGAACGGGCTGGACATTTTGGATTCAATGCCAACAGTATGATTGAAATGAGATCTGCATCCATGAGTGAGTGTGTGTTGAGCTCCTGTTGCCTGAACTAAAAGCAGTGTGTTTGTCTAGAGTCCTCAGTGGCCTGTGTCGACTGTCTTCACTCCCCCTCCCCCCCAGGCGTCAGTAAGATCGTGACGGTGGACGTGAAGGGGAACGCCCCCCTGTGGCTGAAAATCAAAGACCTAGCGGATGGCGTCACGTACAACTTCCGCATTCGTGCCAAAACCTTTACCTATGGTCCAGAGGTGGAGGCCAACATCACCACAGGACCTGGTGAAGGTCTGTATGCTAGCGCCTCTGAGCTATTTCAGCTAAGCAGCTTCAGATGAGCTCATGTAACCCTATTTCTTCTTTGTGATCAGGAGCCCCGGGCCCTCCTGGTGAGCCCTTCATCTCTCGATATGGTGCCGCCCTCACCATCCACTGGGCCAATGGGGATCCTGGGCGAGCACCCATCACACGATATGTTATCGAGGCCAGACCCTCAGGTGAGATCATTGAAATACAAATTAGCACATGTTTGAGAAATTAAACACTGGAGTCGTGGCTTACTGAACCTTGGTGCTCGTGTGGGAATTGCAGGTTTGTGTGTGTGCCATGTACTTTCCCCTTGTCTTCAAACTTCCTGTCGTTTCTTTAAAGTCTTTGTCTATAAAAAGAGTCAGAACTCAAAGACTGTGATATAGTTAAATATATGTGCTGCGTGTTTCTGAGTGTCTTGTAATGAGAAGTGCTGTTGTCTAAAAAAGACAGTGTGGTTTGAACCCAGATTGGACAGCTTGCACTTCTCTTCTCCCTCTCCAATTTTCTACCCATGCACCCCCAAAAAAGTGTCAAAAATAAGTGAAAAATAGCTAAATATTTTCTGATTTAGAAAACCCAACCTTTGAGAATTATGTAAACACAGTGTCTCCGACTTTAAAGCCCAGACTGAGCATGAGGTCTGTTTTTCAGCATATTCTTTCAGCCAAAATCTTAGATACAATTGTCCCAAACAATGAAGAGTGATTCCATATGCGTCTGGATAAAAGTTGCTGACGGCAGCTTGGGTCCGATGAAGGAGATTTATTGATGTGAGCGCTCAAACCGAGACAGTTCAGATCAGATTTCCTCAATGACTGAGTAAGAAGCCCTTCTCGAATGAGAAAAGAGAGAGTTCTGGGGGAGGAGCAGATGTGATTGGTTTAATAAACCGTGTGTGTGTGTTAAAGACCCAAACATTAGAGTGATGTATGCAGCCAGACCATCTTTGCATGCCATTCATGTGCCGTTGAAGTGGAATATTATTGTCACTCTTAGTCTCAGCCCTGTAATTTCTCTGTCAGGCTCATCTATTTGATGAGATATAGATGAGATCAGTGTTAGACACACATACACACAATACGTGTTCTTAAAGGGACAGTATAATCCAGAAGGAATTTTTTTAAAGGGATTTACCCTGACTTGTGTATGGGTGTGAAATGACATGAAGATGAGTAAATAATGACTGGATTTTCATATTTTGGGTGTGCTGTGTCTTTAAGGTTATCTGACTCAAAGGACGTATTACTGATGTGAATGACAAACTAATGCTGCTACATATGACTAGACCTTTCTAAAAAATGTTTCAGATGAAGGCTTGTGGGACATATTAATCAAGGACATTCCCAAGGAAGTGACATCATACACCTTCAACATGGATATCTTGAAACAGGGAGTCAGTTATGACTTCCGGGTCATTGGGGTCAATGACTATGGGTACGGGTCTCCAAGCCAACCGTCACCATCCATATCAGGTTAGTTCAAACCTTCAAATTTTGTGGAAGTGAAAATCAATATGAACTCATACTTAAGGCAATTTGTCTAATGATATATGCAATTGTTTTTTCATTCCAGCCCAAAAAGTGGCTCCATTCTATGAGGAATGGTGGTTTCTGGTTGTGGTCGCTCTGGTCGGCCTCATTTTCATCCTGCTTCTAGTTTTCATCCTCATCATCAGAGGCCAGAGCAAGAAATATGCCAAGAAATCTGACTCAGGTAGGCTCTATCTATCTATCTATCTATCTATATATCTATCTATCTATCTATCTATCTATCTATCTATCTATCTATCTATCTATCTATCTATCTATCTATCTATCTATCTGTCTATCTGTCTATCTGTCTATCTGTCCATCTGTCCGTCTGTCCGTCAGTCCGTCTGTCCGTCTGTCTGTCTGTCTGTGTATTTGTTTATGTCAAAGGCTCATTCAGTGAGTGGCGTGATGAATGAAACAGCATTGTTGTTGCTGTGACATCATCAGTGTGGTATGTGTGTGTAAATGTGCGGTCAGCATTTCTGTAGTAAGAGCAGGCAGAACACAACAGTACTGAGGGGCGGGTCAGTCATGTGGGTCACTAAACATGTTAAACAAACTGAATGTTAAACTTACCTTCCACACAAAAACACATTCCATAACACAAATGTCCAACACACACACATACGCACCATTCACACAACACTACTTGCCTTAACCCAGAAGTTTTTTAACCTTAATGAGGGTGTTGAGCTCCAAAAATGCCAAAATGATGGCCTTGTGGTTTTGGTGACATTGCATCCTATTATTGTGATCGACCCCATAATGAAATTAATATCTGTTCCGTTAATTTAGACCCAAAGCATCATCGGTAGCACTTTATTTCGATAGTCTACTTTAGACATTCTATTAACTATAAGTAACTTTTCAACTACATGTCAACTAACTTTCATTATAGCTTAATATCTTCTAGGGGTGTAACGGTACACAAAAATCACGGTTCGGTACGTACCTCGGTTTTAAAGTCACGGTTCGGTACGTTTTCGATACAGCAAAAAGAAAGAAATGCCAGAGAAATTTCCTATTTGTTTAAAGAAATTTTTTTTTTTAAATAAGTGTGAGTTTTCCTAGATCTTGAAATCTTCAGGTTTATAAATAGGGGTCATCTTTGAAGGATGAACAAATAATGTTTTGGTCATCACATTAAAAATAACATTTAAATATATATTTATTTATATAAATATTGAATTTTGAAGTGCTGGAAAAAGATGTGTGAAGTACTTGAAAGCATTTCACCATTCCAGCCAAACTGGTTCCAGTTTAGTGTTACTATATTAAATCCATGGTGAATGTTGCTGGTCTGTGGACGTAAAGTACTAGTTCATTCACGGCACAATGTTTCTCCTGGTTTCCATGACAGCGCTGTTTGATCTAATAGAGATCTACGGTTAATAACGGAGAAATGTGAATGCATCTCACTAGATCTCGCAGCGATGTTATTACCTCAGTGGCGAATTCAAATGTTTTCTTTACCGGATCTCTTAGCGCTGTGTGGTAACAGTGTTGCTTGATCGAGATCGGCTCGCGCTGCACAGATGTTGCTGGTCCGAACTGATAAACGATCCGTGAAGCACATAACGAGGAGCGCAGTTTCATTCTGCTTTCATTACGCTTGCCATTTGGATGTTGCGCAACGTTGTGTTGGCCGCGTCAGCACGAATTTTGCCGGCAAGAAAAATGGTCCAAGCAATCGTTCGGTTTGTATGCGTACCGAACCGGAAGCCTCGAACCGAAACGGTTCAATACGAATACATGTACCGTTACACCCCTAATATCTTCTAACACTTTATTTTGTTGGTCCCCCAACAGACATTCTACGGACTTTAAGTAACTTGGCGACTACAAGTAAACTTATTCTAATAACCCAAAGCCTAACACCTAACCATAACCTAACAGTCTACGATAATATAATAATACTCTAATCGAGAGTTAGTTGAAAAGTTACTTATAATTAGTAGAATGTCTAAAGTGACTATCGAAATAAAATTTAACTGATCATCTTTAATCATCTTCACCAGAACAGAATTTGTTGCATTTCAGTGTGATGTATCAGGCTTTGGCCAAAACTGCATCTTATGATCTCTTAATGTTTCTATATCTCATCACATACAGGCAACAATTCCAACTGCAACGCACTGGCGCATGGAGAGATGGTCAGTCTGGACGAGAGCCGCTTCCCTGCCCTGGAGCTGAACAATCGTCGACTGTCAGTCAAAAATTCCTTCTGCCGCAAAAATGGTGTCTATACCAGGTCAGTGGAAGTTACTGTCTCTCTTTGTCTCAGTTTTGAAGGTTTTCACTGTATTGTACTTGGGTCACTTTCACATCTCTTCACACACTTCTCCTTAACAACTTTCAGCTTGACACAGCAGTGAATTTCACTCCCAACAAACACACTTTGTCACCCATTACACAATGACCTAACAAACACTAACAACAGGCAAGCATTACACTGTTATTACATTGATCAGATACTTAAATGTCATTTTGCTCAATAGGCTGAATATTTGTATATGAAGTGGTAAATCAATTATCATATGTGCTTATTTTGGGCATTGCACATAGAACTATTAAACTCCCATAAAGCTTCAACGACGTGGCAATAATAAGGCAAAAATAGCTCAAAATCTAAGAGTTTCATGGAAAGACTGATGAGATTACCGAATGGCTACCTTCATAAGATCCTGCTTTCCATCATAAAACTCAATATAAAAGTTTCTGTTTCCACTAATGAGGCCATTTCTCTCTGACATGGCACAGGCTAAGTGCAATAACAGATTTGGGTTCGTGACCTCACCTATACTGCCATCGTTCCCTGTGAAACGGGACCGTCTTAAAATGAATGCAACTGAAATTGTCTAATGTCAATATATTTTATGAAATTATGGCTGTGGTGGGATGTGTAGACATGCATTTGAAGTAAGCACAGTGTGTAAAGCAACTTGTTTTTAGCTTTTATTTTGTATTGTAA